TTTCGTTCTAAAGAAATTGTATTTGAAATTACTTACATGTTAAGAAAACCATTTTATAGTAAACAATATTTCAGAATCTTTATATGTAAGCTAGAGAATAGTTTGTTTTCTTGTAGGAGAAAAGAAGTAATAGAAAAAATTATCTGTTTGTGTACCTTTCAGATATAAGGCTGCATTGAAAGTTGTGCAATCAAAGATTAGGCACAATAGCTTACGTTTGTACACCTACTGATTGGCTGGTCTATTCAAGCTAGTTCTCCAAGGTGTTTAAAAGGCGATTTATCGAGATGTACTGCTAGTGTGTCAAGGCTGTCACTCCTTGGTTCTGCTCTGTTTTTGTTGGTAAGCTCCGCGATGACCAGGGTTTATTCTACTTATAGTGGTTTCCTAGGTGTCTACAAGGTTCTTTATCAAAGCATACTGCTGTTCTAAGGCTTTCTCTTAGCTTTGACTCTCTTTGGTGTTTTGGAGGATATTTATTGAAGGCTTGGCAAGTTTTCGTAGTTTATGTTTACTTTTTCGAGCCTTCTTGTTTCTGTTTGCGAGTTTGATCAGCCCTTGTTTAGACAAGGGAAGGCTTTAAAAAGATTTAATCACTATAATCAAATAAACAACATATTTGTGTTGTCTATGTCTTTCTCCTTTCAACTTTTACTTCTTTTTTGTTGTCTTTGCGTTGCATCTGCCGAGATAGTTGACCCCCCTTTCTTCGTTTATACTTTATATTCTATTTGTGTTTTATCAACCCTAAAGAAGGTAAGGTAAGGGTTTTTTTAGTCTTTACAAATATTGTATTGCTGATTAATCAACAGCTTATATCTTTTCTTTTTTTCTTACCACCATGCTCAATGCTGCTTCGACTACCAGGTATCTGTTGAGCTTAGTGCTTGTTCTTCTTGTTTCTTTGACTGATAAAAAGATTGATTGCGTCTTTAATACGATCCATGGCAGAGTTTCTTGCTTCACAGTTAACGCATATCTTTAACTAAATCTGGTGCTTTCGCACTGTTCATTTATCTTCTGTTATTGACGCAAACACTCCTAAGTAAGATCCACATGTGCAGTCCGCTTATATAACGGCTTTATTTGCTCAAGTCTGTTGTTTTATTACTTTCTCTCATCTTCAGTGCGAATTGAGCAGAGTTCATTTCACTTGTCAAACTATGGTGATGTTGTCTTTAATACGCTACAAATTATTACGTTTTGCTTTCGTATACTTGATGTGTGGCTGCTAGTTTCTTTATTTCTTCATTCTTCTTCTTTGCTTCGACTTGATCAAAACGTGATTATGATCTTTAACTATTGGAAAAGAGAAAAAGAAAAAAGCTCATAAAAACAAAGTACACTTAATACGCAAGGTAAAAAGAGAACCAGAATTTGAAGCAATAAACCCTCCTTTTGCAAAAAAAACAAAAAAAAACAAAAAAAAACAAAAAAAAACAAAAAAAAACAAAAAAAACAAAAAAAACAAAAAAAAACAAAAAAAACAAAAAAAAAAAAAAAACAAAAAAAAAACAAAAAAAACAAACAAAATATATATATATATATATATATTATTAGTCGTGTCCAAAACTGTTATTCTTGACCTCAAAAGTGCCAAGTAGCATTAAATGTTTTTTTCATTTACATTTCTCCCATCAAATGGTATAAGAATAAGTGCCAGCTTACTAAGCAGTATCTACTGAAAAGAGCCCTTTTTGTACTCATTACAGTGTATCACGAACTTTGAGTACAGGTTTGAAGGCAATGCTCAAGTCAAGTCGAAGTTTTCGTCTTAGCAAACTCAATTTCTTTTTGCTAGAAGTATCTAGAAGTGTTCTCGGCTCATTTCGGTTGGATCAAACCTACATTGAGATCAATCTGATATTCAGAAAATTTTCGATGAACTTTTTTTTTTTTCATCTTCACGAACCTCTTGGGATCCCTATGGGCCAGAAAAACAAATCTCACTCGACAGCCAACTCAATGGTATTATTCAATTTCTAGTATAAAACAAGCATGTTTTATATGAACAAATGGACTGTTTTGATAGTCTGATTGTCGAGCAATGACAAATCAAAGAATAGCTTGTTTAAGCTGTGTTTTGGGCATTTTTGCTCTATATGCCATATAGAGCCTGTTAGCAATGGAACTATTAAATATATGATATAGTCTCTGACGTACAAAAGAACATGCAAGAGTGAAAATAGAAGCATTTCATAATGCAAACATGGAGGTAAACGGACATAGGACATACAGGTTGTCATTTGGCGGAGATTCAAATAAAACAACTGCAGTTCTTCCGGCCGCATCAAAATCGAGCTTTTTTTGTCCCTCACTCGATCACTGACTCAACTGGCGGATATCCATGCCTCACGCAATCTTTCTGTTGCTGGTAGAGCTACAGTTGCCAGTTCACTTTTGTTGTCTAAATGCTGGTATATTTTGCGAGTGATCCCTACCGCTTAAGCAATCCTTAATGCCATTCGAACTGTTGTTACTTCTTTTGTCAACCGGCAAATCTTTCCTCGCATTAGTTGGTAAACGATGACTGCACCAAAGTGGAATGGTGGCCTTGGAATTCTTGACTTGTTTTCTCAGCAGAAATCACTATATTACCATTGGCTTCATCCTTTTTTGTGTCCTCAAGCTGAACGCTCTCTGGTACAAGGCTTCCTAGCAGCACATACCCGTGATTTGCTTCAGACTAAACATCTTCTCTTGGGTCTGCTCTTTCTTTGTTCTCGGCTAGGCTAACTCAGGCAGTTGGCAAGTAACACTGTCACAATGTGCTGCCAGACAATGGATGCTATTCCTAGGAAACAGTACTCATACATGCCAAACCCTATCGAACGCCTTTTATTGCCATTACGCTCAATTTTTTTGCCATCTAACACCTTTGACTTGCCTCTCAAGTTACGCACAGTAGCAGTTTCCTATCTATATGAGTACCATCCACAGGGTCACTATTTGGCACCAATGCCAGTTTCTTCCTTTCCCCTGGATATCCGTCGTAGTGTCAGAAAATATCTTCAAGTAGTGAATCAAAGTCATTGTCAACTGGAATCATTCTTTGGTCAATGCATTGTTCGTACTTCATTAGACTTATACAACCCTGTGCATATTTCTGCAATCCAGCGGTCTCTTGGTTTCTTTTCTTTTGTGTGTATGTTGAAACTGCCTTTTGACAATAAAAATTCCATTGCCCTCAAAAATGGTGGCTGTACTTTCCGTAAGGTCATCACACAAGCTGCCTTGTCTGATATCATTGCCCGGCAAGAAGTTTCTTCTGCTGCTTGGAAGTACTTTTGGCGCATACCTATCACAACATTGCAGAGAAATGTGATGTATCGATTTCTGATTCACAAGATTCCCACTCGCTTGCTTCTATCAAAGGTTTTTCCTGCTCGCTTCCCTACTGCTGCCTGCATTTTGTGTGGTGATCAGGAGACTGTGTACCATTTCTTCTTTCGCTGTCCCCAAAAATCTCCGTTCTGGGATGCCTTGATCAGGGAATTTTTATGGCCAGGCACCTCTCTGGATCTAGTCTCTGATGCACTTGCATCGTTCAATTTTTTTCGGATTCGAGCTCAAACAAACTGTCCTCTTTCAATAGCCATGGCAACCTTGATCGGTCTCTCTGAAATCTGGAAGGCCCATTGGGATCATACCATGCAGAACCAACCATTCCATTATATCTCTGTTCTTCACAGCGCTCGCTATCAAATTAAGCGTATAGCTACTGAAAATGACCTTTCATCTTGAGAGGTCTTTTCTCGCAATAGCTGCTCTTTTTTTTTCTCGGTTTCTTTTTTTTTTTTTTGAAATTGTAGTACCCTTTTTGTTTCTTTTAATCCTCTTATAATAAATAATTGTCGAGCACCACTTTTAGTGGGTCCCTCTCGACACCACTAATACGTGCGGCAAATAAAATCATTAAAAAAAGTCGAGCTTTTGCTTAGAACTACATAAAGACGCAGTTATTGGGCTTTGGTGTAGCCATAAAAGTTGTAGATATTTGTTCTTCGAGTCTATTGATGTAAAAAAAAATATCAAATATGCTGATAGAATATTGAGCAAATACCCAGAAACGTTTACAAGGTTTTGCGTCTATATCTCATTATTTCTATAGTACATCTAGTAAACAAACACATTTGTCATAAACTAGAGCCTCTGATGCTCATTTTGAGTATTTAAGCCTGTTGATAGCTTCATTTTTCGTCTTGTGATGTCAGAAAGAAGATCAAGAGTTGTCAAAAATAAGGTTTTTCATGAATAGTACCCTTTGGATCAGAGGTCAAAATGACCATTTTCTACAAGTTGCTTTCTTTTTTTGACCCAAATCGACTTGAAAGGTACCATGGGTGTTTGTGGACATCGCTTGAAGGTGTTCATAAATCCTAGCAATGCATACATATATTTTATAGTTATGTAATGTCCTGCACTCATCTGTTTTCTTCTTAATAATTGCCGTCCCAATATTAGTCAAGTTTATGCATTCAATGTCATCTTCATGGTTTAATGAGTAAATCATCTCATCATGCATATTCACATCTCATGAAAAATATCTATCTATACTATGTTTTTGGTAGTATTTCTCTTTGATTTGATTACTGGGTATTTTAAGAGAAAGCCAAGATTATTTATTTTGAAGATGAAGCATAATCTACTGCATAATGATACGTAAAATAAAAGCAGAATATACATCGTAATGATCTGACGAATTTTACTTGATTATTTTTGAATGTAGTCTCTCTCTTTTTCTTTCTCTCTATTAGCCAGTATTACCCTATAGAATTTTAAGTTATGTTGCATTGATTTGCACTGTTATTAGTAAAACAATAAACTCTCTCTTTTTTTTCTTGACTCTTCTACTATGGAATTTCAACAGAATAAAATTAGATGTCCCGTCATAGTTACCTATCATTCTCTCTCTGTATGTGATATAAATAATGGCGTGCTTTGTTAAAAAGGTCACGGCACACTCCTTTGTGTTTCTTTCCTTTTTTCTTATACGCGATATGTCTGATCTAACTCACCTTTTGTTTTGGATAGACCAAGAACCAGTGGAAAGGTAATACTTTAATACCAAAATACTGTTTCTCATACTTTGTAGTGAAGTGGAAATCTACTTACCAGCAGACACACCTATCCAAAGACCTTCTGCCAAAGTACTGCACCAGATGCAAAAAGCGAGACAAATCAAACACAACAGAGAAACAAGAAGATTAAAGACAGTGTATTATGAAAGACTAAAGGCCATCAAACGAGACTTGGCAAAAGGTGTACAGCGTCACCTGTTGCCTAAGTTTCCCAGTACACCTAGTAAAATTGACATTCTATCAGGCACAGAATTTATCAATCAGAATCAAAAACAGATAGTCGAACTCTTGAATTTTGCTCGGTCAGTCAAGACAAATCAAATCGAACCTTCTCAGACAGAGAAGACTAACAAAGAAATGAAGGATCACATCAAACAATTACAAGCACAAAAAGAATATCAACACTCTTTAGAGGTAAAACTTGTGTATAGAATAAACATGTTTACCAAAATATGATTAGGAAGGATATAATACCAAAGTAAACGAAATGGATGAAGAATACAATCAAATTATGGCAGACATCTCAAAGAGATATAAAGAAAAATGGCAGCATGAAGAAGAAGGCATTCATACATCGCCTACGCCACCTTTACCACCACGCGTATCTCAACATAATCCTCGTACTTTTTTACCAGAGTATCGTACACAGACCTAAATATGCTTTATTTTAATGTGCTATGGTTGTTATTTTTTGTTTTAACTCGGTTATCATGTCTTTTCTGTTGAATAAAGAACCACCGCCTTGCTCTATATCTTTGTTTCTCATGTCTTTAATTCTCACTTGACCATGATTGAGTTCATCTTGACCAATAATGACAGCAAACGGAATATGTTCCTTTTCACAGGCAACCCATTGTTTTTCTAATTTGGGCTTATTTTTCTGCATAAATGAAGCTTGAATCCCAGCATCCCATAATTCTCGAACCAGTTCCATTCTCTCTTTTAAAAGACCATCGCCTACAGAAATCACATAGACTTGTGTCTTATTACTCTTGATATCAGATAGTTTCTGCCTTGACATCAAGATAGAAAACAGACGTTCAACACCAATAGAGACACCCACACAGGGAATCGTTTTGGGTTTGCCTGCCTTATTTGTGCCTGAGAACATGCCTACCAGATGATCGTATCGACCGCCGGCAGCAATCGATCCAACACCTTCTGTCTTCTCTGCCACTGCTTCATAGATAATGCCTGTGTAATAGTCTAGTCCACGTGCTAGACTCAAGTCGAGTTTGACACGGTCATGTATATTGTAAATAGCCAAGAATTCAAGCAGGAGTTTAAGATCAGCAATGCCTTGAGCAGCACCTGCATGGCTCATTAATCGACTGTCTTGTTCTAATCTAGCCAGCAGTGTATCTGTATCTTGATCTTGAAATCGCTGAATATAATCTCCTATTTGATCTGCTATTAAGGGATCTAATCCTTTCTCTAAAGTCATTTCCTGCTTGACTTGCTCCCATTCTAATTTGTCTAGTTTATCTACAGCAGAAGAAATTGTTCTGATCTTGTCTGAGGGTACACCACATACTTGAAATAGACCATCTAAAATCTGACGGTGATTCAGTTTGATATGGAACGGAATCTTGACTTGATCCAATGTATCGCACAAAACTTTTAAGACTTCTGCATCAGGAATCAAAGGGTCATAGACACCAGCAATATCAAAGTCGCATTGATAGAATTCACGCAAACGACCTTTGGTCATAATGGGTTGATCACGTCGATACACTTTGGCAATCTGATAACGCTTGATTTGTTGTGCTTCTTTTTTACCTTGCATAGCCAAATATCTTGCAAAGGGCACAGTCAAATCATACCGAAGCGAGCATGCTTCTCCTCCTTGATCTGCTAAATCATAAATCAGTTTACTGTCTTCACCATATTTGCCACTGAGAATATCTCGCATTTCAAACACAGGTGTGTCAATGGTCACTGCACCATGTCTTTCAAATATACGAGTGATTGTAGTAAATAAATCTTGTCGAACTGCCATTTCTTTCTCATTATAATCACGTGTGCCTTTGGGTGTCTTTAATTGAAACTAGTAAAGTATTGAATAATAAGTTTATGGTCTTGTAACTTACGCTTTTATCTAAAGAAAAGAATTAGATCTTGGCTATAGTCAGATAGGTATACCTTGCTTTGTATGAACTAAACAAGTTGTAGTATAAACTGTCCTTGTTGGCTTAAAGTAACGAGTCAAAGAAAACGAGTGTCGAAGCATTAAAAAAGAAAAAGAAAAAATTGTAGGGGGGAGGTTGTTGGTTTAAACTCAATATATGACACTCGAAAAGTAAAGTCGCTGATGTTGATAGTAGCTTTCATAAGTAGATGTCGCTCTGGTGGCAGACCAGATGTTGCGTCTTTCTGGGATATATAAAGTGCACTAGAATTATTCGCCTCGGAATGTCTTCTCTTACCACGATCACACCGGAGTCTTCATCATAGTGAGTGCTCAATTTTTATACAAAGATCGAAAAGAAACTGTTGTTGATGAGCTCGGCAGACTCAAGCCTGTGCATTATAGTGTTGACAAGGAGCAATTTTATCTTATCAAACGCAAATCATCGTACTATCAATGCTCTTTATATATATATATATATATATATCAGATACATTCTGATTACCACTACAATATGTCTTTGCACTACAACAATTGATATATTTACTTTATTATGATTATTTTTTTTTTTAAAAAAAAGTGGTGCTGTCATGCATTACTCAAAATGCAGGGCACAGAAACAATGTCGGTTCTTGCTGGCATCAATCAAAGAGTAAATAGTAGGACAAGTCGGACGACACTTCTTTTTTCATAATTCTCCTAAAACGCTCTATTGATAAAAAAAAAAAAAAAAAAAAAAAAAATAGCGTGTTCTGGCTTCTGATGTTCAGTGATGCGTCGATAACAGGGATACAATTATACTGAAATCTTTCGCGGAAAGCTTTGGCTTATTAGACAAATAATACATAGTTAGTCGATACACTTCAATTATTAACGGCCGCCATCTTGCAGCGGATTGAGAACGTCTGCAATCAGAATTGGATCTTCTAAAGAAATCCGAAGAATTTAAGTTGTATTGATTGGAAAAGATCCTGCTCGACGTTGATATCGAATGCATGGAATACGTCCATGACGCCGCTCAATAAGCAATGTGAGCACTTTCCTCGTCTTGTACAGTAAACAATACTATGATATTCACCTGTACAACTTCTACACCATCCACTTCATACCATACCACCACCATTTCTACAGCAAATGATACCACAGTAGATACTAGTGCTGCAGAAACTGTCGTAGCTACTGCTACTATAACAGAAGATGCTGAGAAACTGGCCCCATTAATTCCATGGGTTTTTAAGAGCGTGAATTTGACAGAGTTATTCACAAAATTCCAGAAAGCCGTTCAACGAATATCGACCGACCGCTTGTGCTTCATCAAATCATCCATACACAAGCTTTTGGCCTTGTCCAACATCTTTCTTTTATGCCCTAGCCTATACATCCCGTTATGCATCAATATTTTTACTGAAGACGTTCTTTCCGACCTTAACAAAGAACTGTTGACTGAATGTATGGACTTCAGCCAGGATATGAGTAATGACACATGTATGAAACTAAGCCGAATAATTGACGATGTGGAATCAAATAGACTTTCAAAGGGCGGTGCCGAGATTGATCTTTTGAACGATCTTTGGTGTGGGGCATTAAAACTGGATAACCCATTGCGAAGAGTATGATAGTGGTGGAAGACGCTTTGTGATTTTGCTAAAAACTTTAATAGAATATGCAAACTGCCTCTGAAGCCCGTCAAGGATAAGAAATCTCTTCGCGAATGTGAACTTTTTACCATGTATTATGATTCCATTTTGTCTGCCTTGTTTTCCGATTCTGACAAAAACATCTTGTTGCGATAGTCGAATGTCACAAGTGATGAAAGCGGGGAAATACGCTTTGATGCCACTATTTCCGAGATATGCCAGCGTGATTCTGGACCAAGTCGTAGGTATGGCGAAGCCAAGTTGACGCGCTCCACACCCGATAAACATGCTCTATGTCTCGATCTCCTGCGTTTAGCGACGTTAGTTAAGGATACTATTGATATGAACAAGCTACAGGCTGCTCTGACTTTTCAAATCAACGCGCTTAATCATGCAAAAAAATTGGTCGGCTCGCGTTTCCATACCCATTGGAAGAATTAGCATCTTTCATCAATTCGAAGAACATTCGTACCTTACTGATGGTAACTGAAGCATTTTGGCGTTTACGTCAACCTGTGAATGATGAAGAATTATGAAAAACGAAGTGTCGTCCGACTTGTCCTACTATTTACTCTTTGATTGATGCCAGCAAGAACCGACATTGTTTCTGTGCCCTGCATTTTGAGTAATGCATGACAGCACCACTTTTTTTTAAAAAAAAAAAATAATCATAATAAAGTAAATATATCAATTGTTGTAGTGCAAAGACATATTGTAGTGGTAATCAGAATGTATCTGATATATATATATATATATATATATAAAGAGCATTGATAGTACGATGATTTGCGTTTGATAAGATAAAATTGCTCCTTGTCAACACTATAATGCACAGGCTTGAGTCTGCCGAGCTCATCAACAACAGTTTCTTTTCGATCTTTGTATAAAAATTGAGCACTCACTATGATGAAGACTCCGGTGTGATCGTGGTAAGAGAAGACATTCCGAGGCGAATAATTCTAGTGCACTTTATATATCCCAGAAAGACGCAACATCTGGTCTGCCACCAGAGCGACATCTACTTATGAAAGCTACTATCAAGTCTTTCTCTTGCAAGACATCAAACTCAACATCAGCGACTTTACTTTTTGAAATAAGCGTATTTACATGATGATAATTTATTGAAGTAGCTTTTGAAGTTTACCAGAAGACTTGGCAGCAAAAAGATCATCACAACCACCTACATGTTGTTGATTGATAAAGATATTGGGAACAGTACGTTGACCAGTCTTTTCGGCAAGATATTGTTGAATAGCAGCACCATTGGCTAATATAATGTTTGTAATCCTATACTTTGCAACCAAAAAAAAAACTTACCTTCATTATCGAGTTCGATAACAAAGAATTCAAGACCGAGTTCTTTAAGCAAATTCTTTGCCTTGACACAGTAAGCTATTTATCAAGAGATAAGTTTTATAACGCGTTAAATTATATCACTTTACGGCAGTAAGATTTAGAGAACACAGCAATCTTGTTGCTCTTGATGACTTCTTCGACAAGTTGTTCGACCTTGGACATTTCTTCTGGAGATAATTGTTTAGAGGATAAAGAACCCATTTTGGATAGAAAAGCGACAATAAAAAGACGCTTTTATAAAAACTCTTTTCGGCCCGGAATGCGTCGAAATGATGTCATGCACATGTGTTGCAATGTGACTCAATAAGGACGGAGCTAATCGGGTCTATAGGAGGGAGGCAGTATTCTCTTTTTTTCTCTCTCTCTCTCTCTTCTTTTTTTTAGTCATCATTACCATTGTTTGTATCAATTTTAGGCATATAGTATGATGTATATTGAATCAAGATGACTTATTCATTATATAAATCAATTCTACAATTTTCATTCTCCTGTAATTCGATCTGATAATCAGTCGTTGATATTCAATCCTACTAAATTGATCCTTATATGCTTCATCCATGACCAAATTGAGTTTAAAATCAATCCAATAAAAGTTCAGTTGTTTTTATTGTTAAAAACCACCCCAGTTTTTTTTTTCTTTTTTCTTTGCTGTGGAAATTTTTTTTCTTTTAAGAAAAGAGTAGGATGTCTACTTTACACATGTTCGGCGATGTTGCTGCCTCAAAGCACTCTTTGAGACGCAATTCAGCCCCTAGTATGGACGACTCTTATTTCAGTACTTTAAGCACAAGTAGTAGTAGTAGTAGTAGCAGCAATATGTTTTCTTCTGTTGAGACAACAGTAGCCTCACCTATTCCTTCACCTTCTGTTTCTTCTGCTGCTAGAACACACCAACATCGCTTGAATGCTGCACAAGAACAAAGAACTTACCGAGACAGTTGTCAGCGTCTTTTGTCTCACATTAGTTCTGTTGTTGGTATCTGTCAAGAACTCAAGACATCCAACCAAACCAAATTTCCTATCTTTTACCCCTTGACAACTAAACCCAGCATGACTCGTTCTCAGACATTGGACAGTAGCCAAGTATTGGATGCTATGCGCCGTTCATCTGTCACTGAAGCAGACACATTTGCTCAACAATTAGAAAACCACCGTCTGTTGTCTCAAGAGACTAAGGACCTCAACATTTTATCCTTGGACTTAAAGATGGGTCATGGCCATCATGATCTGATCAACACTTTGGAAAGCAAGTCTATTTCCAACTTGTTGAATGATCGTCTTGACCAAAGCATGCGTCATTTGGATAAACTCCATACCCGTGTGGCTGACACTTCTTCCAAAGTGCTTGTGACGGGTGACTTGAATTCTGGTAAATCGACTTTTGTGAATGCCTTGTTGAAGCGTGAACTCTTGCCTGCTGATCAACAACCTTGTACTAGTGTATTCTGTGAAGTCTTGGACGCCATGTTGAATGACGGCCTTGAACAAGTGCATGCTATTCCTGTCGTTAAGAAATACAATCGCCTTGATCCTGATACATACCATGTTATTGAGATGCGTCATCTCTACAAGGTCATTACAGAAGACTATGAGCAATACAAGATGCTCAAGATTTATGCTAATGATGCCAGAACCACACAAGAGTCCTTGTTACATAATGGTGTGGTTGATATTGCCTTGATTGATTCTCCCGGTTTAAATACCGACTCAGTCAAGACGACAGCTGTCTTTGCTCGTCAAGAAGAAATTGATGTAGTTGTGTTTGTTGTGAGTGCTGAAAACCATTTCACTCTTTCTGTAAGTATTCAAACAGACTGAAGCTATGTTACTGACTCCTGTATGTTAGGGTAAAGAATTCTTGTGGAATGCTGCCAATGAAAAGACACATATCTTTATTGTTGTGAATCGATTTGATTCTATTCGTGACAAGGATCGTTGCAAGCGTTTGATTTTAGAACAGATTCGTCAATTATCGCCTGCTACGTATGCTGATGCAGATGACCTGGTCCACTTTGTCAGTGCTGGCAATGTTGACTTGGAACCTGGATCTCGTAAATTGGATGCACCTGATTTTGCTCGTCTTGAACAACGTTTGCGTGCATTTGTGTTGGAGAACCGTACGAAGTCTAAATTGTTGCCTGCCAAGAACTACTTGGTCAATCTTCTGATGGACATCCATGTCTTGTCTGAGGCCAACCGCAAAAAGGCTTCTGATGCTTATGCTAATGCTACAATGGAGCTAGAAAAGGATTTACCTGCCTATCAACAACTGCTGCGTGTACGTGATCGCGTATTAGACCAAGTTGAAAAGACAGCTGAAGTAGCTGTATCTGCTATTCAGATGCATGCAACCAACAAACTCAACCAAGCTGTTGAAAACGTAGGCCATGCTATCAACACCATTGAGTATCCTGGTATCTTGTTGATTTGGCAATACGCTCAAGATATTGCTGATTCTATGGTACAGAAACTCCTGAAGGACGTACATCAAGAAGAAGCACATGCACGTCAAGAGACAGCTGTTTGTCTTGAGCGCCTTCACCGTATGGGCACTGAAAACTTGGGTGCTTATCCATTAGCTGCTGATGTGAACAAGATGTGCCTCAAGAACCGTGATCGACGTGTGACCATCTCGGTTGAACCCACTGATTTCTTTGATTTGGTCTTGGATGATAAATTATCAGGGGCTGCTCTCTCGATGGGTGCTGCTGCTATGGTGGGTGGTCGTATGCTAGGCTTCAGAGATGCTGTCTCTAGTATCTGGAGTGTGTCCAACATGATGGGCAACACTAACATGCGTCGTTGGGTTGCACCTGTTGTAGGTGTAGCCAGTGTTGGTTTCTTTGTCTATGTGGTATCTGATATGCGCTATGCTGTTGAACGTAAATTGCTCAAGAAATTCAAGCAAGCTGTGCGCGACACAGGCTATGTTGAAGGACAGAGTCACCGTATTGCTCGCGAAAGTCGTAAAGTACTTCGTGTTGAAGGCTGGGAAATTCAAAACCGTATTCAAAAGGCTATTGAAGAAAAAGAAAAGAAGCGATCTGATACTGAAGAAGAAGCTGTTGTGTCCAAAGAAACAGCTGAATACTTTGCTTCAATCTTGAACAAGTCAGATTTTTTGCTTGAAAAGATTCAACTTGTATCTACAGATCCTCATCATTTAATGATCAAGGATGCTTCCTAAATCTTTACTTATATTCCCTCTTCTCTTCTTTAAACGCATGCCCATTCTTTCTTTCTTTCTCTCTTTTTCTCTTTCTCTTTCTATTTCATATTCATATCATCTTCTTTTATCATTAAATATTATATTTATTTATGAATAACTTGCTTTCCTATCGTTTCTGGGTGTTGAACATCGTATTCTCTTCGAAGAGCAGCATAAACCAAATCAATCAACAACATCACTTGTCCAAGATTATAGACGAGTGTAATGGCATAAAAGAAGTTGGCATTACCACTACCTGCATAAATCCATAAATGCCAAAAGATAGGTGCTAATACAGAAGCATATAAAAACAAGTTGAATATCAGAAATCCATAGCGACAATCTAATTATCATGAGTTAGAGTTGCTTATAAAGCTTGTTTGTACTTGCATTTCAAGAGTTCGTCATGAACAGGCACAAGGGCTAAATAAAGAGCAGCATCACCAGCAGAAGGATAACTTTTGAAAATGGCCATTATGCCACATAATACAGTCACTGCAAAAATAGGCTGATGGCTAACAAGAATACATGAGCTTCAAAGTGAAATTGAACACTGAGTCATTTACCGTAACTTGATACAGATAGGTGCTGTAAAGATAAATGTATGGAACTGAAATACAACCATAAAAAACGATCTAAACTGATCAAAGATTTCTATGAAAAAGTACCAAAACATGCCTACATTAGGTGTCAAATCAGACACAAAGATACTTGGTTTTTTTTTTTTTTCAAATCAGTCCTGTCTCTTTTTTGTCAACACACTTACATGATACCATAAGTAGCATGAATGAAATCCCATGATCCTGTCAAGATCCAAGATAAGCCAAGTAAAGCAGCAAGAGAAGCACAAAAGAAACTGACAGGTCTAGGTGATTGAAGCAAAATGAGAAATGCAGGCACAAGCATCACGGGATACAGACTAAGATAGGAAGCTAATGCAATCCAAAACATGGTAGGTTTGGATTTCTGCTTTAGACTACTGAGCAAGGCCATTACGATACTCAAATTAGTAAAGATCAAGGTTGACTTTGCAGTACAGGATAAAATGCTGAGCGGATTTAGCAAGTACAAGGCGGCTACTGTATCAGGCGAGATAGGGACTGTATCCTTTGTTTCCACCTGAAGTTTGGGTTGTGATTGGTCGCGTTTTTGTTTGATTTGTGTGATTGAAGCAAGAGCATAAGCAATAAGGATGTCTATGATGCTATAGAGAACAGGAACAGTAAAACTAGGCAATGTCATGAGGAATGAAAACAGACATAATAAAAGTGGTGGCTATGCATACAACAAAGTGAGACAAGTGCTTGTGTAGATCGATCGGTACCTGATGAAACACGCCACCATCATAAGGAGGCACATTATTGTTGTATAGATATATACCTTCTGTCACTATCAAAATGTTAACAATGGAAGCAATAAAGAGTTGTCATTACATCGTTTGTAACTTGTCACGGGTGTAGCTAGTTCTACGCGCTGAACAAGTGTGTTTGCTACTGGGGGAATACTAAATACGACCAGTCGGATAGCTATCGCTGTAGCATAAATCAGTTTTGAATTTTTGGATAAAGAAAGCATAGTGTCAAAAGAGAGAAAAAGAGACAAAAATGGCAGTACATGCAAAACGGAAAGATACTCAGTTACACGAACAATTTCTCAGGAATAACTAAAGAGTGCATTTACGTCAATTGGATAGTTAAATGTAAATAGAAACAGTAAGATTCTTGTTTAATTTACGTTACTTCATCACTGGGGATTGGGATTGATATCTGCAATGCTCAAGCAATTTATCTAGCGATCTATCTCTTGTATCTGAAAAAAGAAAGAAAGACTACATATATGGAGTGAATTCTGGATCTTGGTTTGCTTGAACAAGTGAGATTTACTTGGCTTTGGTGATTACAAGGTTCAATCAATGCTCTTATCATAATCAAGAGGAAAGCAGGTTATTTTTCAGGTATGAAACTGTATTACCAACATGAATCAAGCTTTTTCTTTTTCTTTGTCGTTTCATAAAAATACTTTATGCAATATCTTTGCTTAAATACCATACAATGGTGCTCAAATCTTTTAAAAAATTAAGTATTCTCTGACGTGCTATATCTTGGTATACATACTCAGAATGACATAAAACTTTCTTTTAGCCTACCCATTGTTGTATTTCAGTCGCTTGCGTTGTTTGTACTCTTCTTCTTGCATCGCTTTAAATTTTTTTTGCAGAACATCTTATGTACGTTACTGATCTAAAAATCAAATGTTGTCTTATGACAATATCCATTCAAAAAAAAAAAAATTAATTGGCAAAACAAAAGAGGGTTTCTCCGGGAATCGAACCCGGGACCTCTCGCACCCTAAGCGAGAATTATACCACTAAACCAAGAAACCGTAGATGTTTTGTCATGTGTGCATGTTTATTTTAAATCACGTTTTTGCTCTCTTTCGCGATTTTTCTGGTAATTTTATTATGTTAACAAATTTTCAAATTGGAATGGTACATGTCTCTGATGTTTCTTAAAGTACATACAAAGTTTGGTATGATTTGGTCTAGGTCTGATTGTACAATGGTGTTCCAAAGGTTTCAGCCAATGGTTCTGTCTTCTGTTAGACCCAATCAGATTCGAGTCAAAACTACTGATCGGTGTGTCAATTGTTGGTCTGGGTCTCAATTGTTGTACTTTTTGGTTCCTTATTTGTCCTACTTCTTCCGTATTTTGCTTCATGATATTTTGCTGTGATTTAATTGTGTATTTTATTTTATTTTTTTTGTTTATTATATTTGACAGTTCATCTCAGTTTGAATCTGTTGAATTTTATAATTTAATTGTATTAATTGTTCTCCTGTTTGACATTTCAAACGTGATTGCTTTTGGGCAAGTTTGATCTGTTCTAGATTAATGACAAGCAATTGTCTTTGTAGAAATTTATTCTAAAGAAAGTATAAAAGCTTAAAGAACTTTAGAAGGAATAAAAAATAAAAGGAAATTAATCTTAATAATCGAAAACTTTTTTTTATAAATTTTCTTTTACATATATCTTCATTGTCTTTTGAAGGAACTGTGCCTAAGGTTATAATCTCTCTATTTGTGTCTATCTCTCTATAATTACAATAGTCTTTACAGTCTTCTGTTGTTAATTATTGGTTTATCTCTTTTATTTGTTGGTCTCGTCGTTCAAGGTAAACACAAAGGGAAAAAGAGAGGGTTGTCAGTTTTATTAAAAGTGCAGTAATAATATTTATTTAAAGTAATTTGTATCATGTGATTTTGTTAAACCTCACAGGACAATCGCGAGATATCTTCTTTGTTCCAATTAAGTGCACGAGTTATACTGTTGTATACACAGCATTATTCATCCCTTCTTACACTAGTTATGCCTTAAAAGACCAAGTATTAATGCCATGTATAGATATATCTTTCAATCACAGTTTTATCCGCAGCTTCGATGGATGTCTTCTATCTTAGTTTCAACACGCTAAAGATCAGACCATCACATAATCACAAATTGACATCTGCATCAATACCAATGGTAGACGAGGTCTGTGCCCTGATCATGTACCCAGTTCTTGTGTACCTTAATCCACTCAACCGATTAGCTAGTGTATACACACTCAGTCCCAAATTAAGGATAATCAATTATCATACAAACAGTATAAATACAATACAAAATATAACCTTTAATAAAGCAGACTTCTTTTGGCCGTTTTGGTTCTAATCGACTTATTAATTTGACCATTTTATTAGTGATTATATCACAGGTTTAAAGAGATAACTAAAAAAAAAAAGAATCGAAAGAGAAAACTCTACAAAATTGAAAGTGCAACAAATTGGCAAGGAATGCATTGATCTGTGCTACTACTACTTGAATCATTAAATCGTATTATACACCTCAACACTACAAACGTATCAGTTTTTCTTTGATCAGTAAAATAATATGGGCTCCCCAACATTGGTTAACTTCACGTAACTGTAATAAAGTCTTCAATTAGAGGTAAACAGCGTCATCAAAGTTTGGGAAGAAATGCTACGTATGCTTAAATAATAAAATAAAATGAGTTTTTGATCTTCTAGGTTACGATGAAGCCGTATATTGGCTAGCCTTAAACACCTCCGATACAGATAAACCTATAGGTTTTAGTATAAAAGAAAAGTATAAACAAACAATGGATTCATAGAGAGTAAGTTTAGGAAATCAATATAGAATTTGCTTGATACTCTCTATAGGGTTCATTACCTAATCAATACTGCCTTATAAGTGTTGTATGGCAGTAATACAATAAGCATATTCATATTTATTAAGAAGGGGCGGGGAAGGGGGGGGGAATAAGAAATATAAAGAAGAGATATACACATTATCGATGAATACGATACGACTCAACATTAGTCAATGGATCTTCCAGACTAGGTTCATTATAAGCTGAATACAAAGGATCTGTAGGCTGTACATAGTTCTGTTGCATATTCTATATTCATTTATGATGAGGCATAATTCAATAACAAGTACCTTACCTTATAGGATGTAGATCTTGGTATTTGCCTATGATAATTGCTTGTATAAGGATTATAATCTACCAAAGTAGGATCCACATAATAGCTTGTTGTTGTTCCTAGTGTTGCTGTTGAAGATGTCGTTGCTGTTGCTGTTGTCGTTGCTGTTGTCGTTGCTGTTTTCGTTGCTGTTTTCGTTGCTGTGGTGTTTGAGGGTGTAGTATAGTAATAAGATGTATTCTTGACTTGTTGAGGTTGTATATACAATGGATTTGAATTCGTCTGTTGTGTCTGTGGTTTTTGATAAGCTGGATATTCTGTTTGTCCTAATACATAGCACTGCTGATTTGTATTCTCATATAATCCATTTGTATCTTGTTGATAAACAGGACGCGGCGGGATCCTCAGCTGAACTCGAGTAGGGGGCACATTCAATGTTGGCTGAAGGTATTGTTGTTGTGTCTTACTGAACAAGAAGAAGTTGTGCGTAGCTGCTGCTGCTGCTACTGTGGCTGCATGTTGTTGTTGCTGGTAAGCATATTGCATCCATTGTTGTGAGTTACTATTAACTGACAATGCCATGGTTTCCATCAATCTCTGTCGTTGTATTTCAATAGGCACATCTATCAATTGGCTTCTGAATCCAAACAAAGCTGTTCTCCATCGTTCATATTCTTCTTTTCGAATGGTCAATTCAAATCGTAAAACATCCAAAAATTCGAGCTCCATAATGTTCAAGTCAGTCACTTTCATGCCAGACACTTCAGACCATGTCTTGTTAGTAAATGTGTTATCATCCAAAAACTTGTTAGCCAACATTAATGCGACAGTAAACAGTCTGTATTCAGACCCATCTGCTCCTTGGATATGAGGATTGTTCTGTAACAACATGGCAATGTATTTCAGAGACAAGAGTACGACTGATTCAGACAATTGCGTTGCTGTCAATATCTATAGAAAGAGTAAGTATCAGTCAAAATGAGGGTATATGACTTGCCTGTCGACAAAACTTTTTAAAGGCTGCGCTTGTCATATTGGCCATATCTGCTGTTACTCTTGTTTGTTCAAGGCTATTGTTGTTGTGCGTGATTGTATCTGTCTTTGAGCTTGAATGAAGGTCCATCACAGACTGTCTTCTGGCATGCCACATGAGATAAACCATTGTTGATGAGAATTCAGCTATTTCTGATATGGATAAGGTGATATTGGGTTTATCATCAGTTGCACTAGGAAGAGGCTCTTCTTTGAGTGGCCTTGAAATAACAGTTGGATGAAGAGGAGGTTGTAAGCGTTGCTGCCCATAGGCGGCATTGTCTACAATGGAATACTGTTGAGAATACATGAAGGAAACCTCGAATGGATGTTATTAAAACATATGAGGTATAAAAAGATGTAGATTGAATGTGACGTTGATTTTTTATGTTTCTTAGAAATGATAGAATAGGATCATGTTGTCAGTGTAAAATGATATGGATATCATCTATAGAATGCCTTGAACTGACGGTACATGGCTCCATTACTGCTTTTCTTTTGATAGGGTCTAGATTGTCTTTGGGTTGAGTAATTTATGCTTATCTAGTATCTTGCCTTGTATTTTGGCTGCCCGCAAGTCACTTACTTATGTGACATGCTTTCCTTTTTTTGACGCCACTCTGCTTTGTCTTGACCTTGTTGTTTTTTAACACCCTTTTTTTTTATATTCTTTTGTGATTCTTATTGATTATGGCACCTAAAAATAAGACTGCTGTTCTTTCAAAAGAAAAACCCAAGTCATTGAAGCGTCGCAATGAACAAATAGACGAAAGCGAGGATGAGGGCTTTGGCAATGTTTCTATCGATATGGGATCTTCTGACGAAGAGCAAGACGAAGAAGAAGGAGAAGAAGAAGGAACTGAAGCCTTCCCTGAAATCAGCTTGAGTGACGATGAAGAAGACGAGGATTTTGAAGCTGATAGTGAAGAATTAGAAGATGAAGAAGAAGAAGAAGAAGAAGAGGAGGAGGACGATGAAGAGGATCAGCTCATGAATGATGCTGAACTCGATGAAGAACTCGAACGTGATCTCGAAAGAGAAGAACAGGAAGACGAAGAAGAAAAAGGCGAATTTGAAATGTAAGCTGTTCTATATATTTCGTATGGCTACTAACATGCATAGTCCTGAACCTTACCGTCAACGTTATGCAGAGGAAAAATTGCCCGAAATTGAAGGCAACTATGACTCTGATAGTTCAACAGAAGAAACCGAAAACACCATTGGCAATGTACCTCTTGAATGGTACAGCGACTTGCCTCACATTGGTTATGATGTTGATGGTAAAAAGATCTTGAAGCCTGCCACCAGTGATGAACTTGATAAGTTCTTGGCTACAATGGAAGATCCCGATTCATGGAAGACAGTCAAGAGTGATAAAGAAGGCAAAGATATTGTATTGGATGATAAGGAGTTGGATATCATTCAACGTCTTCAACGTGGTATTATTCCTGATTCTAGTTACAATCCCTATGAACCCACCAATGAATGGTTTACTTCAAAGACAGAAGTGATGCCTCTCAGTGCTCGTCCTGAACCTAAGAGTCGTTTTGTACCTTCTAAATGGGAAGCCAAGAAGATTATGAAGATTGTACGTGCTATTCGACAAGGCCGTATTGTGCCTCGCAAGCCCAAAGATGAGAAGCCTCGTTTCTATAATTTATGGGGAGATGATGATAAACCCCGCGAAGATCATGTCATGCATATTGCTGCTCCCAAGATGAAGTTACCTGAGCACGATGAAAGCTACAACCCACCTGAAGAATACCTTCCTGATGAAAAGGAGGTCAAGGAATGGCAAGAAATGGACGAAGAAGATAGACCCAAGAACTACCTTCCCAAGAAGCACAATAGTTTGCGTCATGTACCAGCTTATGATCAATTCATTCAAGAGCGATTCCAACGCTGTCTTGATCTTTATTTGGCTCCTCGTGTCCGTAAGAACAGATTGAACATTGATCCTGAATCTCTTGTGCCCAAGTTGCCTAGTCCCAAGGATCTTCGTCCTTTCCCTACACATCAATCAATGGCCTACGAAGGACACACAGCCCGTATTCGTGCCCTCTCTATTCACCCTAGCGGTCTCTATGCCCTTTCTGGTGCTGATGACAATACATGTCGTCTCTGGGAAGTCTTGACTGGTCGTTGTCTGTTTATGTGGCAATTCGATAGTGTGATTCATGCACTTGGTTGGTGTCCTAACCCTGATGTATGGATCTTTGCTATTTCTGTAGGCCATGGTCAAGTTCACTTGATTTCTCCTCCCAAGCTATGTACACCAGAACAAGCCATGAACACAGATCAATTCACTAAATCTGGCTTTGGTCTACAAAGTGAAAACAAGTCTGTCAGTTGGAACAGAGCCAGTGAAGCAGATGAAGAACGTTATGGTTATAAATTATGTATTCGACACCCACAAACTGTGAAGCAAGTGACATGGCATCGTAAGGGTGATTATCTTGCTACTGTCTCTCCTGATGCCAAGAACCTTGCTGTCCTTATTCATCAAATCACAAAGCATCAAACACAAACACCCTTTAAGCGTCTTAAGGGTCTTGTTCAAAAGGTTGCTTTCCATCCCATTAAGCCCATCTTCTTTGTTGCTGTAAGTTATTATTTTTTTTATCTATAGACAATGTAACTAATGTCATGCTAGACTCAAATTTATGTTCGTGTGTATGATTTGATGCAACAACAATTAGTAAAGACATTACAGACAAGTGTCAAATGGGTTTCTAGTATTGATATACATCCAGGCGGTGATAATGTGATCATTGGTTCTTATGACAAGAAGGTGTGCTGGTTTGATCTTGATCTTAGCTCAAGGCCCTATAAATCACTCAGATATCACACAAAGGCTGTCCGTCAAGTCAGTTATCATAAGCGATACCCTCTTTTTGCTTCTTCTTCTGATGATGGCACCATTCAAGTCTTTTATGGTATGGTTTATAATGATTTATTGCAGAATCCCTTGATTGTTCCTGTCAAGATTTTGAAGGGTCATGAAACCAAGGATGGCCTTGGTGTATTGAATATTGAATTCCACCCTACTCAACCTTGGATCTTCTCTACTGGTGCTGATGGTTCATTTAGACTCTGGACATAGACTTATGAAATGTAAATAAATAAATAAAAAAAAAAAATATTGGTAATACAGCATTATCGTGGCTTCAAGAATGATAATGTGTTACTCTCTCAGTGTAATATATGTGTGACTATCACACACACACACACACACCAATTTTTTTTTCCCATTCCTTTTTTTTTTTTTCTAATAGAGTTTCATAGAATAAATAATAAAGACAATTGTAATGATATTATGATGGATGATGATGAAATAGAGCGTATCTATTCACAACAACTGCATGAAGAACTACTAAAGCAAACTCGGTTGGCAGTGACACAGTTTATTGAATTATGCCCTGATATATTTGGCCTAAAGAATTTAATTTTACAAACAAACCAATTTTTGTTACCTGTGAATGAGAGAGTAACTCAACTATATCAAGATGTTTGTGACACTTATGCTGACAACCATATTCCATTTGATCACGCATGGGTAAAGTGTAAATGATAAGTGTGGGTGAGCGATAAAAAGACAAATGTTAATATTTTTGATTAGAATTGGGTGATGATATGGAGACAGCAATTATCATTTCGATCTTTAGCTGAACATTATGGTCAAGAACAAGTCATGGCTGCTGTTCATCCAAGAGCAAGAAAAGCAATATCTCAAATCTATACAGAGCATCTAGATCAATACATGCAGTGGTTTCCATGGTCTTGGTTTTCTGAGATGCAATTCATTGGTGCAGGTGGATTTTCAGCTGTTTATGCAGTCAATATGACACCTGCATATGATCCGCAGCCACTTCGGATGGCATTGAAGATTGTAGACTATAAATTGCTGAATGAGGTAAGTCTAGTTTCTAAACATGATGTATACTCAACTACAAGTAAAGATCTCGGTACAGGCAAAGGCATTTTTACCTCTTTTATTTCAAGGGCTGACAGTCTGTGAAAGTACAGGCGATTTAATGATGGTGATGAAATGCAGTAATGATGGTAACCTAGAAGACCATATGCAACAACTTCCTTTGGGTGATCTTGACTTGAAAACAATCACAGGCACCATTTTACGTTTAGCAGCCAATTTAGTTGATTTGCATAAAGTAGGCATGTGTCATCGTAATGTACACCCACGCAATATTGTCTGCACAGATTCGGATTATTTTCTAGTCGATTATCGCTTTGCTACACCGTCTCATGAATCTTCTTCTGTCACAGCTATCACCAAGGCTGTTTATGGCCGATTGCCTTATATTGCACCCGAACTGCGTCAAGGCATCTATACTGAGAAATCAGACATTTATAGCCTAGGCGTGATTATTTGGCAACTGGTCAGTAAAGTGATCTTTCCCTCTCCTGATGTCCTTCTAAATGGCCATAAGGGATCTGAAGAACATGTGTATCGTATCGAGATTGTGCCCGGATTACCCGAATGGTACCAAAAACTTTATATTGCCTGTCTGGAACCCAAACCCGAACACCGCCCTGATGCCATTGAAATCTGTCAAGCATTACAGCCTATCCATAACGCATTGGATTATTCAGTTCCCTTAGACCGTCGAGTGACAGAATACATTGTAGCAAGACGAGCAGAAGTAGCTGATCATCTTCGGACGTATGCTAAAGTCAAAGGAAGCGTGTCTGGATCAACCACACGTTTGTATACCCTATCTAATTTGCCCTCAACGCAACCTTTTGTCTTACTTCCATTTGAAAACGCACCCTTCCATACGATTTGGACTGTCAATGATACGTGTTCGGATACCTTTTCACTTTCTGCCTATATAGACACAGCATCGCCAGTTGTTTAGAATAAACATGTAAATAATGCCACATTTGCTCCGCTTACCTTGGTTTACTTGTACAACTATTTTTCTAGAGTATGTATATATATGTTTCGTGACAATGTGGGAGTATTTCTTTTTGGCTTTTAGTCTTGAACATAAAAGAGTTACACATAGTGTGCTTTCTTTTTTAACAAGGCGGGCTTCCAGAGGGGGGGGGGGAGTTTTATAAACTCCATCAAGTACCACAAAGCTTATTTGCTTTCAGAAAGAATGATGGATAAGAGAAAGTTTTATTAATATATAAAAAAAGGGGAGGGGGATATAGTTAGGTACAAATACTGGCAGACTCCCAAAAGGCTTGCATTTGTTTAATCTTCTTCGTTGATTCTGTATCTAAATCGTCTAAACCCCACATGATTTCTTTTACTCTTTCAGTAGCTTCACCTTTTTCCAAAACGACTGGATCTTCATCGTCTTTTTCTTCTATGTACTTGTTTATCCTTCGCATATCTTTTCTGACTTCATGTACTGTCTTTGCAATAGATCGAAGTCGAGAGTTGAGTTCTTGTACCTGACGTTTATTGACATACATTATTTCTTTGAGTTCTTCAAGTGACTCGGTAGCTGCACTTGTTTCAATAGTCAAGTTTCTTAGGGATGGTAAAGGATTTTCATATGAATAACTAGTGTCGTTCAAGGTGGTCTTTACTGCTGACAACAGTCCTTCCATTTCCCTGAGTGTTTCTATTGACATATACATGGTTTCTTTTCTGAGTGCTCCATCCAAGTTGCGTAGATAGCTTGTCTGTCTTTCACGGTCGCGCGATTTGCGCTCAACCAGATTGATGACAGACTGAATCACATATTCAAAAGGTGGAGCAAAAGTCACGAGGTCTTGGAGTGTTTCATCTACAGCCAAGGTCTTCAACAACCGCTTATGAAGTGTCTTGGTCTCCCACACTGCTGTATTTAAATCTTCCAGCTGTCGCTTCAGGACTTCAAAGGGATCATCGTCTTCTGGGTCGTTGAGAGAAGACCAGGAAGAAGAAAACGAAGATCTTCTACTACGAAGACCGGTGGAAGCAGACCATTGGAGTGGCGATAAGAGTGGGCTTGTCACATCGTTAGATAAAGTACGTCTTTCCATGGCCATAGAAGCTAATTTAGATGATGGTTGTTGTGGTTCTGTTGCGTTGATCATGTTGGTCGGATTTGTGGCTGAAGGTAAAGTAACGACAGAGGGATGCGTCTCAAAACTTTCTTCCATAGAAGGGTCATTTGTAGCTGATTGGAGTTCAGCGGCTAAAGAAGAACCCAAGGGTACTTCATTTAGATATCCTTTGCCTAAAAGTTCGTCTTCTAAAGACTGTCCTCCACCCAAGAAAGCTTCGTCTTCATACAATGAGGGTTCTGTCATCATAGTGATAATAATAAAAAGAAAAAGAAAAAAGAAATGTGAATATAAAAAAGAAAAAGAAGAGAGAGAGAGAGAGAGAAAGAGAGGGTTAAAAATAATAAAGGGGGAAAAAAAGATATTTTTTTTATAAGAAAAAAGGACTAAATACTATTTTGTGTTATCCTAAATAGAAGCCTGTACGAGGATAAGTATATTGCTATTTTTGGGTAAAAGCATATTCAAGTAAAAATAGCATCACTTATGCCCATCAAATCGCCAAGGTATAAAAAGAAAGAGAGAATTTATTTTATATTTTTTGTGTGCCTACAAACATATGAAAAATACGTGTATGTATGTGTATATGCGGATTGCATATATGATAAAGGTGATACACAAAATAGGGATTCGAAATAAACACACATATATATATACACACACACATACTTATATATATATATATATATATATATACACGCACAAGAAGACGATATTCTACTTTATAAATTTCCTGTCAAAAAAGAAAGGATTTGAAGCTTGTCTGATAATGCATAGAAACTTAAAAAAGACATGATAAAAAGAGGAAGCTTATTTCTTTCTTTATTTTCCTATCGGTTATTCAACAAACAAAAAGTCTGAATTTGATCTGCTGTTTGTTTTAGTTGTAATATTGTACCGAGATTCAAAAGTAATAGAGTAAGAATGCTTGTTTTAATGTACCTAAAAGAAGGATACAAACAAAGGTAAGAATCCCGCTTTTTTTATCTGTCTTTAAGAGCCAAAATACAGCACATGGCTTTGGCATCTATCCTTTTTTATTTAATTCACCATGACTGTCTACTGCTCATCGTTGTATTCTCTAATCGGTACTCTCTTAATTCTCTTGTGTAATCATGCATTCGTTTTCCCCAATCTTTTAATCGAACGACCTATGCAAAACAATGTTATTGCTGAATAATAAAGTGATACGCTTACCATAGCAGTTGTGTTGTCGTCACTTTGTAACTGGTCAGCTGCATCAACTAACTTTTTTGCTGAAAGAGAAGGATCTTTATACTGCTTCACAAAATCAACGACTTCTTGGTCCGACATAACCGAAGTAATCCCATCTGTCACGAGCACAATAAACGCTGCAGGGTTCTCTTTTGTGATCTTGTATCGAACAATATCAGGTTCAGCAGAGACACCATATCGCTTTAATTTTGCATCTCCAAAGGCTCGACTGGTAGCCAACATACCCATAATACGCTCATCACCCCAAGAATCAGTGGTTATAAAACCAGCATATTTTCTCAACCGATCCGTTTCAATTGGGTTACCAGGATGATGGTCGCCTGTGGTCAAAGAAAAAACTTCGCCTGACAGAGCATCGCACAATAGAATCCGTGTGTCGCCTACATGACCAATAATGATGTCGTATTCTTCACTATCCCAAAATGATTTTTTGTCTAAAGGTTCAATAATAGCCACACTGCCAGTTGAACCTTCATTGTCCTCATGAGAGTCATCAAATCCACCACGTAATTGTTTTAAGCATTGTGTATCTGCTTCCAAAAAAGCAAGTGTCAAGCGTTGTTCGAGTGTCAAATCATGAACATCAATATCTGGCTTAGGTCTCCCTTTCTCATCCACACAGTTTCTTATCACTGAAGGAATTGGAAATCTTCGAAAATAGCCTCTGTAAGAACGTAAATAATTCAACGTTTCATGAAATTCATTCAAACTAATGGTTTCTAAAAGTTCATGCAAATGGTTCGCCAACCTATGTATACTTTAGAAATAAAATAGAATATAATCAGTTTACCATTCAGATACGACAGAACCACCATGCCTACAAAAGATATAAGATCCAGCAATGGAACACAGTGTATATACCCATCAAAAACACCAAAGTAAGCGCGATTTGCATCCATATTCATCTTTGAAAGGCTGTGACTATCAGGTAATTCTAAAGTAACCGCACTGTATTTATCTTCGTTGCTTCTTCTTGTTCCTCTTAAAGAACAAATACCAATAAGTTGGTTTGATTTATTCAGGTTAATTCTTAAGGAACTGCCTATACTATGTTGGTTCTTTTGTATAACATTTATTTCATACCATTCAAGCCTTTTGTTAAATAGTAATTCTTGTATGCAATTTGCCTTGTGGTCGAGAACAGTCTTTTTATATACATAATATATGGTATAGAGTGGAAGAAAAGAAAAGAAAGTACAATAATGCCCCCGCATTTTTCTATTCAAACCAATTTAAGTTCAGCCTTCTTTTAGAGTACACAAACGTCCTATTTCTCCAAAAAAAAAAAAAAAAAAAAAAAAAAAACGCACCATTAAAAAGCATATGAAAGAATTCATCTCTTTAATGATAACAATTGCTGTACAGCTATAAGCTTGTGATTCTATATATATATCCTTGATATTACTTGTTCTCGTTTATTTCTATAATACAGATAGGTTGCTCTTTGGTTGAGCATAATGGAATTTTTTATGCGTAATTTAATGAACAACTTGAATACCCACACTCTTTGCGACACCAATAATACTGCTAGAGATGCTTTCAAGTGATAAATGCTTCAAATTGGCATCTTGTTGCTTAATTTTGGCAATTTCATAGACATGCTTCAAAGTAACTGAACCGACTACTTCAGTGCCAGGTGTTTGGGCACCCTTTGTGATACCAGCAGCTCTTTTCAAAAAGTAGGTGGTGGGTGGTGATTTGACGACAAAGGTAAAAGTACGGTCAGGCTTAATAGTAATGACAGTAGGTAAAGGTGTTTCTGGAACAATGTGTTTTGTTTTATCGTTAAATTGTTTACAAAAATCCATAGACTTGACACCACGGGCACCAAGGGCAGGACCGACGGGAGGACTAGGAGAAGCCTTTCCGGCACCTACTAAGAGCTTAACGAGAACTTCGGCTGCTTGTGTCTTTTTCGACATGAAAAATATGAAAGAAAGAAAGAAAAAAAAAGCGAAAAAAATGAAAATAAAGGAACCTGGACTATTTTCTTGAAGCCCTTGTCATGTGTGGCTTATTGGGTGGGGTGTTCTAAGTCCGATATGCTTTGCCATATTTGAAGGTGCTGCATTGACCTGATATGCACCGTTCTTTCTCTTTATCAAAAAACTATGTTGCCAAAAGAACTGTCAGGTAAAGTGTGTAGTACAATTAAGCATGCTAAAAAGACATCAGTACTAGTAAAAGAGCTTGTTTCATTTATCAATCATGCAACACTTGCTAAGAATGAAGGCCTGATTGAGATTATATGGAATAGATCAAAGCAACTGGAAAGCACTTCTTTGCTTGATAATCATGATTCAACTGACTATTTTTTACAGCTAAAGCAGCTAATTCAACATGGTAATCCTTATTTTTTCAAGAACAAGATGTTGATTATACATGCATAGGTATTGAATTATGGAATTTGACAGTTGAAATGAACATCTATATCACAAAAAATGAGAGACAAAAGATGAAGGCACTAGCCATGCGTAATTACTTTCTAAGATAAATAAGAGCTAAACATCCATAGTAAAAGATACTTGCTTCCATATCTTCCAAATGGATCAAGAATGGAAAAAAGAGAATTATTGGACTTACTTGCAAATGGTTGCAGGCACATTCAGGATTTGTTTAGGTGGGTCTTTTTATTATGTTATGTAGTTTCTGACTCTTGCTTGTAGATTGCGAAGATATGGAAAGTGAGCAACTAGCTCTAATCGATGAACTGAAAAACGTAAAAAAAAAGGTCATATGATAAGCTTGTACTGATAGATTCAGGCTAATCATATATCGATTGAAGATAATATGGATCCAGAAAAGATTATGACACTATTTAAATGCTTCATCTATCAATCAGAATACGTAAGTGACTGATAAAGTAGTCTCGTTATTAAGTATGTATAGGCTTCAAGATTAGAAGACTGGACAGGAGGGAAAACGTTAATTCTTAAGGCTATTGGTATATTGCAGAATATGATGTTAATGTGCTTATTCTTTATTTTTAGAGATACTTTCACCTATGGCATCTCAAGATAAACAAGGAGAGGTATATTGTTTTGTGTCCTTCAATGACTAAATCGCATAGATCAACCGCTTGCTTTATTTAGTTATCGACACAGCAAGTTTGCTTTGCAATGATGTGAGGACAAAGTCAACTGAAATACTAATGTGGGCCATGCAAACCATCGATAGAATACTAGAATGTGGCAATTGTACATTTCCTATCTATTTTTATGTAAGTTCAATAGATTTGATTATCTTATTCCTCCCCTCTTTTTTTTTCTATTAGGAGCCTTTGTTTGATGTTATAGGTATGTTTACATTCATTTTGTTTGCTTTTGATACAAATGAAGACTAGTGGAAGCATGTAAAAAAGACGACTATCTTATTGCAAGAGCAAATCAATCTCTAAATCTTATTGAAGTAATAGACAAAGCACTAAAAGATGCAAGTTCATTTGTTTATTATTTCTCAACAGGCAATCTAACAATTTCTAGGACAAAAAACATTCCATCAGATATTACTCAACAAAGCTAATAATCTTATTGAAGTCTGTTGATATTGCTTCTTATGCCAAAATAGTTCAAAAAGGTTAGACAGCAGAAGTCTAGTCTGATTGTATTAATACATAGATAGAATATTTTAATCTTGTGGAAAATATTACATTGTCAAACGAACAAGACTTGATTTTGTAATATACAGAATAATTAAATGGGATAACGAAACTCACTTTTTTCTTACTACAGGCTATCTTTTATCATAAGAGAGTTAAATCAAAGTGAATGCATCAGGTATTCATTTTATTTTCAAACCTAAAGCTACTGACTTTTTTTTTTTTTTTTTTTTTTTTTTTTTTTTTTTTTTTTTAGTATTTTGCTTCTCTTGGATGGCTTGGATCTGTTGATTCATCGAGTACAGAATGAAGATGCATCTGAAGGCCTTCAGAACGATAGCAGCTTTCTTTACCTTTTCAAGTTCAATATTTTATCTGAGATGGTTATTGAAAATTACAGCAAGCATCAAGCAAAACTTGACCCAAATGTTTTGCAATCAGCTATTGATGGTAAATTAAATATCTGATGCGTTCGTATCTTATTCTTTTATCAGATCTTTACTTAGTCAAAGGAGATGTCAACGAATTAGATCTATCTGCCATACAAGTAGTAAGTGTGTCGTTTATATGTCAATTTTTACGAATCATAATCAACAGGTCACTTGGACTACAGCTGATTTTTTTTACAATGTAAGCCGTTCAGTTATATACAGTCTCATTTGCTTATAGGGATTATAGAAGCAACTTTATGATCATGCTTTACCTTGGTATCGATATTCTTATAATATCACACAGGTCAACTTTCAAGGAACCAGCAATTCTGTCATCGTGACCCAGTAAAGACAATTTTAAAAAAACGAAGTGGTAGATTAAACTGTGTTTATTCTAGGAAGCTTTCGTTTTGTTATATACAAGCAAACGACTACAATGCTGCCTATGAATGTTTCAAGAAAGGAATAGAAGATGCAGAAAGAGATGTAGAACTAGAGGATCATTTATTGCTTTTGAAATTTGCACTTATGCAAAATATCTGTTCTTTGGAGAAAGGTAATCAAACCCATTTCTTTTTTCTTTGCTCACATCTGTAAAGCTGTCACTCCAATTCTAGACAAGATTCTTGTATTACAAGAATTCAAACTTGAGTGCTTTGTAACTATACTTGAATACTGTTATCAGGTAAATAGAGTAAATCATGCATTTACATACAACTCATATTAGTGTAGTGGTGCAGAAAAGCCTCTTTTATTCAAATCGTCCTGGCACGCATCATTGAGTTTTACAAAAATACGACTCAAAAAATAGAGATAGATGCGTATACCAAGGCCTGCTTCTCTCATTTACTTGTTCTTACAATAAGGTATACTCTTCTTCAGTTTCTCTCCTGATATTTATTGATTAGATGTACTATTTACATCAAGACAACAGTCTATGAATCGTTAGAGAAGGATCATGACTTACACACAAGGTATGTACGTGATAAGCTTTTTTCTTTTATTTTTATAGACATGACATGTACATCTAGGAAATTGGATTTTGTATCTATTGCTTCTTACATGAAGAATGGTAATAGCATTAAGCCAAATCATTCACAAGATGCTTACTTGTTTCGACGTAGTTTGCAAAGTTCTGAAAACCTCAGGAGATATACAAAAGCTTGTTCAGTCATATCCAGCACTGAAAATAGATTTGGAATGGATGGTATATACGTGCTGGAACTTTGGTCTCTTTTGTTTTGGTGCTGAAAGAAATGATGAAGGCACATGTCTATTTGAAGTGATTGGCAAGGTAAAATATTAAAAAGGCCAAGAAGACACTTACAAGACATAGCTCTCTCTCTTCTTCAGCTCGATATCATCCGAGACATTTTCCACAGAGAAAGATCGTATTCGAACATTTCTTTTCGCTGCTTCTTATTTAATGCTCTATAGTCATACAATAGAGGTAAAAATTTACTTGTTTTGAATTCTTACCAAGTCTATTTTTAGCAAGATCAAGAAGAAGAGGATAGTTTAGATAGCAATGATGTTATCCACATGCTGGAGTCACTCAAGGTTCAAGAAAATGACGCTATTTCAATCCTAGCAAGTATCTTTGAAATTCAAGTATATGTTGGTGAGAAAATGTTTGATAAAGCCTATCAATTATTTGAGGCAAGTATAAAGTATAAAGGATTTTATTTATACATCTTTTTTAGTTACACGAAAATCTACCTGAGTGTTCATTTTCTATATTAAAACGCATGGCTGGTACGAAGCAGAAAAATATGTGTATACTAGATACTCATCTATGACTAGGGATTATTATACTTCAACCTCATTGTCCTATGGATTGTAAGTAAAAGTAAATATATTGTTAATATTTAATTGTTTTGGTAGATACCTTTCTTGTGGTCAAAGTAAAAATGCACATAATCTTTAACTTAGAGTTACTCACGATTAGATAGAAATTGCACTTGTCCTCAAAGCTCTCTCAGTTGAGTATTGATGACTATGCTAAATGGACGCGGATCCTCGTCTCTGTAGCTCTCAAAAGAAACAATAGTCAAGACTTGTTTGATTGCTTTGTAACTATTCTTCAACATCAGCTCTATAAAAAGGTACATAGGTCTTTTTTTTTTTTTTTTTTTTTTTTTTTTTTTTTTTTTTTTTTTTTTTTTTTTTTTTTTTTTTTTACACAATGCTAATATATCGGTATAGGCTGAATATCCTCAGCATCAATTGTACTACTTGATAGTCATTGCTTGGAACGAAGGCATCACATGCTGCTTCAGGTACAACTATGGAATAGACAACAAGAGAATTAAACTATTCTTTTATAGATCAAACCCTCAAGGGAAAAACTGGTGTAGGATTGCATTTGAAATATTGGCTTATTTTAATCAAGATGAAGAAAAGAAACATGCCCTTGAGGAGCAGGCAAGTACATAATCAATAATCATCATCAAATGCTTACCATGTATGATTAGATGAGTGATGCCTACAGGCTGTTTGAAAGCAGTGATTGAAAAACAGTCTGATTTAAAATGTACTTCATAGAAAGCCTCCTTGAGTAATAATAACAATGATAATAATAATAATAATAAGCTTAACAAATCTTTCAAATTTAAACAATACCTGATGCTTGAACCAACCTGCCATTTGACTCCCCGCTCAATTCTGAGTCTATAAAAGCCCTTTCTCTCTTCCTTTCTCCCTTTCTTCCTTCCTCTTTTCACTCTCTTACTTTTATACAAAATGACCCGACTAGGTTCACCACATGAAAAATACGATTTCATTGAACAAATAGGCGATGGATCATTTGGCACAGTACATAAAGCACAAAATAAAATTAGCCATAAAATTGTAAAGTGTAAATAATGGTTTATTCATGCCAAATGCAACCACAGCTCACCTCTACTTACTTTCTTTTTTTTAAACAGGTTGCTGTAAAAGTGATGAAGAAAAAATACGCTAGCCTTGACGAGTGCGCATATCAATTTGAACCCAAGTTATTAGACTTACTTCCACCACACTTGAATATTGTTCAACTCTATGATAGCTTTCTTTCACCTACAACATGCGATCTTGCTTTTGTTATGGAGTATATGGATGGTGGTAATCTCTATCAGCTTATGAGAGAACGAAAGCACCACAATTTACCCTTTAGTCATGGTGAACTCCGTAGCATTCTGTACGTGGCTCTCCTTAAATAATAAGTGAATAAAAAAGCTGATTTATTCTGTAGACATCAAATACTATCAGCAGTCTCCCATATACATCGACACCACATCTTTCACCGTGACATGAAACCCGAAAATCTATTGATAGACTATTCAGCCAATCGACCCATCATCAAACTCGCAGACTTTGGTTTAGCTCGAGAATTAAATAGTCCACCACCTTATACTGAATATGTAAGCACGCGATGGTACGTTTAAATATAATATCTTCGTCATCATGACCAATGGAATGTATAGGTATCGTGCACCTGAAGTACTTTTGCGTTCTACTGAATATTCTGCACCTGTAGATCTATGGGCAGTAGGGGCTATTTTTGCGGAATTAATTACCCTGGATCCTCTTTTTCCAGGCGAATCAGAAGTAGATCAGATTTATCGTATTTGTCATGTCCTGGGAAGTCCTGGAAATAAAATGGGTGTGGGGCAGAAACAAAAAGTTGTACGACCTGAAAAACGCTTAAGCCCTGGATTTGCAAGAAAAAAGACAAAAGAACTTGATCGTCCTGATATGCATACGGTAACTACAACATCTACCATGTCACCTCTTGATGGTGGAGGGGAATGGAGAGAAGGAGTCAAGTTAGCCTATAAAATAGGATTCAAATTTCCACAGGTAAAAGTTTTCTTTCATGATCGAAAGCAAGGGAAAAGCTCATTTCTATGCAGGTACAACCCAAACCATTAGAATCGATTATGCCCAATGCATCACCATCTATGCTTGACATCATTCGTCATTTCTTGTTCTTTAATCCTACACAGCGATGGTCTGCAGAGATTGCATTAAGGCACACTTTCTTTTCAGAGTCAGATGAGCCTGTTCATAATGTAGTACCAATGGACATCGAACCTACTACCCCACCGGACCAACCTCTTGATCGACATCTTACAAGCAGCCGTGGTAGAACTCTTAAGGGCATCACACCCTTGGACTTATTAACAACACCCAAGTCACCCTATCAAATTTGTCCTGATTGGAACACAGACCATCCCATTTCTCGTCATGGTAGACAGTCTTCTCATACAACACATGTAGATCGTTTCTTGCATGATGTAGAAGCAGCGGACAACAATGCTTGGTTAACACAAAGTAGACCCATCTATAGTTCTCATCAGAAAGTACATCCTGTTACAGATAGACCCAATTCACCTCATACATGGAAATATAGTTATGCAGCACATCAATCTTATAGACCAAGTACGCCTGTTGTAGAGCATAAAATAGCCCCTTCCTCATCTTCTAAAAGACATTCTTTACGAGCAAATGAAGAAGGAGAGGAAGTACCTCGAAGAACATCAGCTCATCTTTTACATCATAATCATCACCCTCATCATAATGATTATCATCATTCTCATCGTCCCACAAGTAATAACACATCATTTAGTCATGATAGAATACCACATTATGGTAATCAGCTTATAAAATGGGCTCCACCTCACTATCATCATCCTACACCCTCCACAAATGAAGACAAAGCAACAGAGACACGACCCCAAAGTAGACAATGTAGAACACCTGCATCCTTTTCAACCAATCTTATGAAAACTAAGCATGCGACTTCCATGACTACAGCAAATACGCCTACATCATTAACTCATCATTCACCTATCAAGACATGGACTTCTCAGACAGCACCTCCTATTATCAATGCAGATAAAGCGATTGGACATAACGATCAAGTATGGACACGTAAATCAGATAAGCCCCAATCGACACATCGTAATTCGACTCTGAACCGTTTTAATTTATGGGTGCCTGAAAATGACGATAGTGACGATCAAGAAGATAACTATTCAAACAAAAGGTAAATATTTATATGAATGATACACTTATTGACTCTGATTATCAGATGGGTTCAAGTACTGTAAATAATAGCCTGTATTTAATTGCATATATTCCCCCTCCCCTCTCTCTTTTTTTTTAAAAAAAAAAATAAAGCTTATTTGTTGTTATTCCGCACTATTCGGGGCTGAGATGATTATGCGTTTTCTTTGAAAAAAAAGGGGGAGGGGCCGGGAACTATTTCTTTTTTCTTCCTTTCTTTCATTCTTCTTATTTTTTAATTCAATCATGCTTGGACGTGTCACATCAAAAGAAGCAGAAGGCGATCCAGACTGTACAGAAGTCTTGGAAGACAATTCACGTAGCATTTTGATGGGCATCATCAGTCAACTTCGAAAAGATATGGATTTACATAGAGTTACTTTACCTACTTTTGTGTTAGAGCCAAGATCCATGTTGGAAAGAGTAACAGATTTTATGAGCCATCCTGAATTCTTGATAGAGTAAGTTCTTCATGTCATTGAATGATACTCATGCTGTTGAAGAGCAAGCAAAAAATCAGATCCTCTTGTGCGCTTTTTAGATGTCGTAAAATACTTTTTATCTGGTTGGCATATTAAACCTAAGGTACATATATTTTTTTCATACGCGATTTCTGTTTATTTAGTGTATCTTAGGGAGTTAAAAAACCTTATAACCCTGTTTTGGGTGAAGTGTTTCGGTGCAAATACAAATATAATAATGGAACCGAAGCTATTTACGTTGCCGAACAAGTTTCACATCATCCACCTATTTCTGCTTTTTATTATGGTAGTCCTGAAAATGGAGTTTATATCCAAGGCGATCTTCGTCCTAAATCAAAATTCCTCGGAAACAGTGCTGCAACATTGATGGAAGGTGAAAACCATATTGTCTTTACACACTTGTACAATGAACGTTATGATATTACAATGCCTAATATTTATGCAAAAGGCATTTTATGTAAGTCATTCAATCTGTCTTTACTTTAGATTAACAAAAAAAAAAAAAGTCGGTAAAATGGTTTTGGAATTAGGCGATAGTTGTATCGTGCGGTGCCGAACAAGTGATTTAGTATGCGAACTGGATTTCAAAACCAAGGTACAACTATATATATAGGGAGAGGGAGAGAGCGTATGTTCACCTTTCACTAGGGGTTCTTTTCTGGTCAATACAATTCAGTTGCAGGAAAAGTCAAGAGAGAATCAACAGGTGAAGTGCTTTATGAAATCTCTGGTCAATGGTCAAATGAAATTTACATCAAAATGGCCAAGGTAAAAAAAAAAAAAAAAAAAGTGTTTGTATATGAAGCCAACAAGAAATGCAATAGGCTACCAACAAAACACTTTTCTTTGATGTAAAATCTGCTAAAATCCATCCCAAGATTGTTCCAGATATTCAAGACCAAGATCCAATGGAATCTAGAAGGTGAGTATTGAACAAAAGACATGGCTGCTCAACACAAACATTAGATTATGGTCTAAAGTGACAGCTGCTATTCTTAAAGATGATATGGACACTGCTACAGCTGAAAAAACAGTCATTGAAGAAAAGCAGCGTGAGGATGCAAAGCAGCGTGAGGCAGAAGGAAAAGAATTCAAATCTAAATTCTTTAATACTGTCCATGGTGATCAATATGAATTTAAAGGTCTTGCAAAGTAAGTTTTTTTTTCTGTCTTTTGATGAAATGCTGACTTGTTTTCTTTATCAATAGCCTTGATTATAGTAATAAAGAAAAAGCAAAAGCAGACTTGGAGAAAATGGTGCTTGCACCTCTGAGTTCTACTTAACTTGTCAAAAAAAAAAAAAAATAACATATAGAAAAGTACTTTGTCTCTTTTTCTATGTTTTATTGAGCTTAATAGAATACAACACGCCATCTGTCATTTTCATCAGGACCATCACCATAACCAGTAACTTCATTGTTATCAGAATCAAGGGATTCATCATGACTATGTCTATATAAAACAGTTAATTTCATAATAAAGAAGAGAGAATACATACAAAGTAACACCAGTGGCTTTATGACGGAGGAAGAAGGAGCGACCAGTATACCAAGTCTATATAGAAAGGTGTTAAAATAAAAAATAAACATATCAAACTCACATTGTCTCCTTCATCATATTGTTCATTTTCTTCATCGTCAAAAGTCCATTGCTCCACAATCCATTCATCATTTTCATCACTATTGAAATCATCACCGAAACATGTCACTTCTTGTTGTTCAGTAACAGGGCTTGGGATATCAGGATGTGAGTGAAGATTGGTTCTTGTTGGCATATGCTTAAGACGAATTACATCACCAAAGTTGACTTCCACATCACCACTGTCAATTTCATCACCCAAGCGAGGAATGACAATAAAAGTGGTTTCGGGAGTAGCTTCCCAACCACCAGTAAAGACAACTTGTTGACCACTACCATTATCATAATGACGACCACCTTCAGAAGTCAAATAACGACCACTCATGTTATGCTTTAAAGAAATGTGGCTCCTAAACACCATGGATTCAGCTTAAAAAACCCTCCCTTTTAATATCTTTACTTACCCAAAACAAATGGGACCATCAGGGCGAGAACCATAAATTACTTCGTCTGCTGGGATGAATACAACGAACTGAATTCAATTGGATTTCTTACCACTCATTATTAATAATAAAGAAGAAAAAGAAAAAAAAGAATAACAAGAAGTTCTCTTTTATAGTTTTTTAAATAACACATGGAATAAGATTAATGAGGGCAAAAGAGTGCCTGAATTTTTTAGCGGATTCTTAATTACTGCAGACTAGAGTAGTTTATTCATAAACAGTGGGAATATATATACAATTAAAAAGACATGCCTTTGCCTTCAATAGACACTTTGGGTGTTGTTCTTTTAGGTCCAGTTTTGATTGAACGCATTGTGTTGTTCAGTCTTCTGAAAGTATTATCAGGCTATACATAAAATGCATTAATAACAAGCTAAACTGAATTTCACTTACTTTAGAGCCTCTGTTCTTATCAAGACGAACTGTGCTCTGAGGTGCAACATCATAATCTGCTGCAACTGCTTGAGGAACATGAACAAAGTGTCTGTTTCGAGCCCTGTTGTTAAATAAGTAAATAGCTCAATTAAGGAATGACTTACTTTTCTTCTTCAGGCTCTTCTTGAGGACGCTTATATCTCTTTCTTTGGTGAAGACTAAATATACACAATTAACAATGAAATTCCTATTAACCGTTGTACTACAACTTACACATCAATCTGACTATATTCTTGCACAACAGGACGGCGTTCCTTATAATTTTCACTACGCTTAATTACCAACCGACTCCATTTGGCCACCAATTGATCTGCTCTTCTCTTCATTGCTGGCTCAATACGGGGTGATTTTGTGTAGAAGTAAACGATTTTGCCTACACCACTTTCACGTAAGTGATCACCTGAAATAGGTAGTTTGTCCAAGATATCCAACATTTCACTCTGGATATCTAAACTAGGCAAAGAACGATCAGGCAAAGGTTCAAGCCATAATCGAATGACATCTAATAAACCATTATCAAGAACAGCATCATATAAATGCTTACTATAATCAGAAAGTTAGTTCTATAGAAACACTGTGTCAAAACTTACTTTGTCAACATGGTAGATACTTCAGTCAACATCTTTAACTTGGCAACAGCTGGTCTTCTTTCTCCATTGGCAATAGCGTCTTCTTCAGAGGCATTTTTCATGCGTTCTCTTAGTAATGCTAATTCTTCATCCATACTGTTTTCAAGATCTTCACCGTCTTGTCTCTTCTTCTTCTTTTTGCCGCCTCTTAGAGCTTTTGCAAATTCTCGGTCAATCTCATCTCTTAAGGCTAGAATAAAAGCATGAGCTATCCAGTACTGATTCTTTTATTGGCTAAATTACCTTGTTGAGGGTCAACAGGGCCTTGTTCGTCATCTACATCATCTTCTACAGTTGAGGTGTTTTTCAACTCACGAATTTCACGTCGAACTTCTTCTAGTCGAGCGTTTTCTTCATCATCTACATTGCGTTGTTTCTTTTTGAAGGAAGGTAGTTTTGTAACTAGTCTAGCTACTTCTTCTTCTTGTTCTTGTTGATGATATTGCACAGATTCATCTACTTGATCGTAATCTTGACGTCGAACTGGTTCTTCTTCATTATCAGACGCTAAAAAACACATCAATATACACGATGTAGTTGTATGAAAAGATATACCTTGGTCTCCATCAAGATCAGACATTTCTTCTTCTTCACTTGTGCCAAACAGTTTTTCTTGTCTCTGAGTAAATAAATAGGTTTAATACGGGTTAAGTCAAAGGCTTCCCTATTAGTTTACCATAGTCTCTTCATCGTAGGAAGCCATTTTGTATATATGAATCGATAAAGTGTGAACATGATGCGAATTAGAACCGCGCGCATTACAAAAAAAAAACTCGCTAAAGTTGACATCATCACTACAAAGGCAAGTCCTTATATCTCCCCCCACTTTAAGTGACGTCGACCAAGCCTGTGGCTTTTGTTTAGTGAATTTCTAAAATAGTCAACTGAAGTGCATTATCGAGAGCGTGTTAAAACTTGAAGTATATACGTTCAGGCCATGACATCAACAGCAGGCCACAACTGCTCTCAAGTGGTCAAGATGGCCAAGATGGCTAGAAGAGCGCTATCAACAACGCCTTCAAATGCTTTGCCATGGGTTTAATGGTAAGTGAGTTCTTTTTCAAGAATTACAATCCCTAAAGCTAATGTGGCGTATTTACGTAAAGCCTTACAAAGCCCTTCAATGCTTTCTCTAGTCACATCATGATAAAGTGCCCCTGATCCATATACTGTATCGTTATTCTTTCATACCCTACGCGTTGCGTTTAATGCATTGTTAGATTCTGTTCATTCATTGGTTATTTTTTTTTGGGAATTCACTCATTCTAGAGTTGCTATAGCATTCAGGACATACTAAGCCACAATTTTCATCTTTGACAGTTCATTTGAGTGTCGTTCGATAGCAACTATCACCATGAAAATTGTGACCCACATCACACAAGTTACATTGACGTCTTTGTTATTATTGTTGTGTCATGCATATACCCTCTCTCTCATGCTCACTTTGATTTATCGCGTCAAAAGGGAAAAAAAAGTACGCTAAGCCACCCAAATATACTCTTTCTAAAGAGGCACATATAGAAAAAAAATTACAGAAAAAGTTTTCTTTATTTGAGGATTTTAGAAGTAGGAATGAACGACATTTAGTCAAAGAGACCGAAACCCATATCCTATAGAAGCACATGTTAATACCAAACACAAGCAACCTATTGTTATAACTTACATCATCAGATTCTTCCTTTTCTTCAGCCTTTTCTTCTTCGGCAGGAGCATCGCCAGCAGCAGCACCGGCAGCAGCACCACCAGCAGCAGCAACGGGACCAGCAGAAACGGAAGCGAGCTTGGAGGAACCTTCAGCAATAGCCTAATAATCATGTTAATATCCATACACAGAAAAAGTTTTTTTTCCATCACTTACTTCAGCGGCGGTCTTGCCTTCCATAGCCTTCAACAAGGCAGAGGCACGGGATTCGTCAACTTCGACACCAACGGAGCCCAAGACCTTCTTGAGGTCTTCAGCAGAGGGGTGGGCGTTACCACCAGCGACGAGAAGAAGATAAGCTGCGAGATGCTTCATTGTCAAGTGTCAATGTTCAAAAAGAGAGGATGAACCAGTGGCTACAAGGAAAAAAAAATTATTTATGGTGGATTTCTTGCTCAAATTTTTTTCTAATTTACGATGCCTGATTGGATCATTGTAGCTACGTCACGAGTGACTTGCGAATTTATAAATTTTATTCATTTTGAATGTAGCCATCCTTTGCCAAGTCCAGGAAATCAATGAGCTTATGGTACAAGAATTTATATGTCCATGCATTACCCTTGATGCGACGAACATCTACTATATATATTCCTGGAAGATTCTTGATACGGCACATTTCTACTGCAAATCGTATTTCTTCGCCCGTATCAATGGATCCATCGCCATAGATAGGCTCTGTGCCCTGAGTTCGGACTACTTCGAGCGAAGAGTCAGAAGATGTATCCGTTGTGATTTGTTCAGAGCTATTATCCGCTGTTTTGTGAGATTTTGCCTTGCGTCGTGTGCATTTGATGATGAAGTCATTTTCTACTCTAGTATCAATGCCTAAAATACGCAAAATACGTGAAATATCTTGCATAACAATCAAAGGTGATTTGGACGTTAATGCAGTACGGTCAATAGCACCTTGATGAAATTGAAGGCGATCATCCATGGACTGCTTGATTTCTTGCTTGCTCAAGTCTACCAGGGCTGATTCGCTTCCACTCAATGGGTTTCTTCTTCCAATAGTGCCTTGTTCGGGCACATGAATGATTTCTTTGACAGGCTCTTGTTGATACTGAGTTTTAAATCTAACAGTATCATTCACTTTAACAGTATTCGCAGTAGAAGACAAGATGGATTTAATATCTTTGCTGCTGTTTTTGATGACCAAAATTTCTTTCGGTTTAGCTACAGGATCTATGGTTTCCTGGACATGAACTGTCCGATTTCTGTGATGTGTACTCAAATTGATTTTTTTTGATTTGTTTAAAAGCTGAGATGATAGATTGGGAGTAACTGTTTCCTTTTTGGCTTCTTTGACTGTAGATTTCAAGTTAGCAACACGATACATGTATAACAGCTCTTACCATGAGATTTCTTTTTAATCCAATCCATCATTTTCTGACCAGTCTTCTTAGGCGCTGTAGGTTCTTTCATCTCAGATGGAGAAGCAGACCAAGTGTTTCGTTGAGGGCGATATAGTTCCTGTGGTGCATCCGTTTCTTCAAATCGACTTTTAGGAAACGAAACATGAACTTCTTGAGGAGGCTGGCTTCTATGCTTTCTGTAAATACTTCGTCGTACAGCTGCCATGGCTTTCCTTCCACTATCACCTAGGCGGACTGAAGCAGAAGGGCCCATAGGAGCAGGAGGGGCAGGAGAAGCAGGAATACTTGCTGATGAAAATGATGTATTGGCAATTGAATCTGATACTATAGAAGACTCGCTGCCATTACTCACATCAAGATGTGCCGTGCCCTCTTGCTCTGATTTGGACACACCTTTACATGATACAACACTGCTCGTGACTAAAGCTGTGTTGTGATTGGATATTGCACTGATGATACTGTGTTGCTCAATAGGCTTTTCGTCCTGATTCATTGAAGAACTATTCTGAATAGGTTCTTTTGTAGATAGAGTTAATTCTGTTCGAGCCTCTTTTTTGGGTGGCATCATTTGCTCAATAGAACAATCGTCTAGATGAGAAGAAGAATCCTGTGTTGTCTTGGATTCTTGACGAACAAGACTTTTCTGTGCTTTCTTCATGAATGTGCTATTCGCTGCGGGGTTGATTGGTTCATTGTCATCACCATCTCCTTCCTCTTCGTCATCTTGTTTGTTCTCTTTCTCTATTTCTTCAGGCGTTGAACTGGTGTTCAATGGAAGTTGTGCTGGCTTTCCAGCAAAAAAGCTTAAAAGCTTTTCTGTTCCACGACGTTGACTTTTGCGTACACTGCCAAATGTAGAAAACTTGCTTTCAACCACAGAAGGTGAAGATAAAGATCGTTCTGGATTGACAAATGTATCTATATCAACTGATTCGGTTGAAGTGACAGTGATAGCTGAGTCGTTCTTAACTGCCTTTCGGGAAATAAACTGAGGTACCTTGGAAGAAGCATGAATCACATTAGCCGTAGCATTGGATCGGCCAATGGAAAAGTACTTTAATGCATTGCTCTTCATGGGTTCTTCTGATTGTACGAGGTATTTTTCGTTCATGACAGGAGCAAAGTGGTCTCGTTTGATCATTGGAATATGTGTCTTTCTGGTGGTCGTTACTGTTCTTTTTATAGGCAAAGAAGTAGATATACTGCTGCTGATCATCAAACTTGATTTTACATCTGAGGCATTCGTTAGTGTACCGTCTGCTTCGATCTGCACAGCATCTTTTTCGAGAAACGATCGATATTTGTCGAGCCAAGGGTGTTTGATGACATAGTCGAGTGAACAGCGCTTAGCAGGGTCTGGAACAAGCATCTTTTCGAGCAAGTCTCTTGGCTCTGCGCCCACATAAGAAGGAAACATAAGATGTGTTGATAGAATGTAACGATACAACTGATTGATATTGTCACTATCTGGGTTAGATGGATCGTCATCAAAAGGAAGAAATCCACAGAGCATAGCATAAAGAATAACACCACAGCTCCATACATCTACTGCTGAACCAGCATATAGTCCAGCATTTACTACAAGTTCAGGTGCAGCATAACAAGGCGAACCACAGGTTGTGGCCATTAAATCGTCTGCAGCAGAAGCAAATTGATTGGCAAACCCGAAATCAGTGACTACAATATTTCTATTCTTGTCAAGAAGGATGTTTTCCTAATTTAAAAGGGATTAATTATGTAAACTTATGTACAAAGCTCCTGATACTTGCTAACTTTAAATCTCGATGAACGATTTTGCGTTTATGCATATAATGAACACTGCTTATAAGTTGAGCAAAGAATCTTTTTGCATCCTTTTCTTTTAGGTATCGATGTGCTAAAATGTATTCAAATAGTTCTCCGCCTAGAATAAAGTTGTTGATTTCAAGGACAGCTATGCATTGCTTGTTTACCTGAGGCGTATTCTAGAATAATACCAATGTATTTCTCTGTTTCAACAACATCAAGCAATTTTACAATATAAGGATGATTCAAAGTCTATCATTGTCAACACTCGCTTTTTCTTGGTCTTATTGCTTACTTTGAGTACTGAGATTTCTCTTTCTATTTTACTGATATAATTTTCTGATCCTGAATCTTTCTTAATCAACTTTATCGCTACCTAGAATAAAGTTCATTATAAGATAAGCAATTAAGAATACATTTACCTCTTGGCCTGTTTCCACATGAACACCTAGCTTAACTTTTCCAAATTCACCTTCGCCTAATGTCTGTAGCAAATTATAGGATCCAAACCTATTTTGTTTTTTTTGGCTTCTTGTAGTTAATAAATGGGACATGATTATGTAAAGAAAGAGAAGAACGAGATAAACGTAAGATACAGTTCCAATGGATCAGTTTTTATAAATGTTAGAAGAAGGAGTCTATAGTAAGAAAATAAAAGGGGAATTTACATAACACTTTATTATATGTAGGTGTTTGTTTTTGTATTTGTATAAAATTATATAAATGCAAAAGAAAAAAGGGGGAGAATCTAACTTGGTAATTTCTATAAACTTCTAATTGTCTAAAAAAGTGAAAACACAGGGAAAAAAAGAGAAAGAAGAAAGAGAGTAGAAAACGTATATTACAATGAAGAGCAATGATGTTTGAATGCAGAGAAATTCATGCGCGTATTACAGAATATGCATTTCAACCAACTCGGACACGACTTGCGTCAATTACGAAGCGATCTTTTTTTTTTTTTTTTTTTTTTTTTTTTTGTACTAAACTATACATTTTAATGCATAAAAAAATAATGATGATAATGAAAAGAATGAGTTCAGTGTATATCAATCTTATGCTTTTGTAAATGAATATATAATGTGTATTTATTGTAATTACGAAAGAGTGAACGATTAAGAAAGAGATACATATATATATATATAAAAATAAAGATGTAAAGCATCTTCTCTATATATACTCCTTTAGAGATTATTTTTAGTCAGGCCAGTTACATGAAGAAAGTGGCAGCAAGTACACATACGACAGACGCCACAAATGCATCACCATAAACCATTCTACAATTCATTTTAGTGGCACTAGATGATGAACTACCATTTGGACCATTGCCATTGCCACTAGGGCTATCCAAAGCAGGTGCAATTTTAGCACATGAAGCCAAATCATTTCTTTTAGGGATCATTTCTTGCCCAAGGCCGTTAAAGTCACAAGCTCCAGTTGACTGCTTGAGTTCCTTTGTCTTCAAGTTGTAAAGCCAACTAAGTTTGTCTCTAGCAGAACAAAACGAGAATGCACCATAGACCCCTTTTTCAGCATCACCACTGATCTCAGCACATGATACCATGCCACACATTGTATCCAATTGAGATCCAAGCGTACTATTGCCTACGTCACCTGGAATACTCGTTACCTTGTCAGAAGCAACACATTTCATGTTTTGTACCATGCATTCACAAGCACCATAAGAAGGAGTAGGTGGTAGGGAGGAAGATGCTTTCCAAGTGGCACTAATGGCAGGACAATTGGATTCTGGCTTCTTTTCATTATAAGCATCCATCTTGACACCTATGGGTTTTGTCTTTTCCATTTGTTGCTTGAGATTTTTGTAGTCTTCAAGCAGTTCTGCTTCACCAGAGTCTGTGATTCGCACCAAGCCATATCTGTTGTTTTCTTGAGTCCATTCATAGACAACCCCGCCTGACCATATACCTGTCATCTCTGGGCCATAGATAGCAGCCACTTCAGTAAATGGTCGGGGTGTAACAAGATTACAACCATATTCTGAAAGAAACACAGGTTTACTATAGTTTTCAAGTTCTCTTGTACGATCCTTGAAGCCTGATTTTTGAAATGTAGATGTACCACACCATTCATAGAGATTGATGCCAAAGAAATCAGCCTATTTAGAATAAGATAATCTACATTTGCATACTTATTATCATACCTGAGTCTCTGGTTCACCACAATTGAAATAATCCTTGATGTCATCTCGGATAAATTCATCATCATTACTTGCATAACCAACTGGAATTGCCCTGTTGCTGGCACTCTTCACATATGCCTTAATATCACGAAGAGAAGCCTTCACATAAGCAGAAGCCTGAGTGTTTGTCTTATCGTTAGTGACTTCGTTGCCAGCAATAAAGCCAAATAGATTATCATATTTTGTAAAGGCATTGACGGTCGCCTTATAAGCTTCATACAATTGAATACCATATTCTGGTACTTTTCGATTGACAGAGAAGCGTGGTGTTGCAATATCGAGCAATAGATAAATACCTGCGTCTGCAAACGATTTCATACAGGCATCATGGTTCTTTCTTGGATCCACCTATCATGTTGAATGAGTTATCTGTTAAGGAGAGAAAAGAAGAAACTTGCCTCATAAACACGGAGAACATTAGTACCAAGTTTAGCCATGAGCGGGGCATCTCGTGCACAGGCTTCAGGTTCAGCCAAGGGATCAATTGTTTTCTCCACAGTTGACATCTGTGTTCGAGGTTGATATGCCACACTACATCACTCTATTAATACCTTGTGTGTACGCTTTTTCCTGCTTTATTTACCCTTTAATAAAAAACTGCTCCTTTGTTACAGAATCAAAAAATTTTGATCCCTTAGTAACAATAGGATTCAATGCGAGAGCTGAACTAGTGGCATATGCTATCAATAAAAGTGATGTTGAGATCTTCATATTTTTTTTTGTTAAAAGATTAGAGAAAAAAGAAGAAAGAAACGAATTATTGACATGTTGATAAATATCATTTTGTTTTTCTCAAACAAAATAAAAGTCGCACCTAGGGCCTTTTTTGTTATAATTTCTAGGAGGTTGATGCGTTCCTTGACTTCAAAAATGTTTGACCTGTTTTTTGTTGTTGTTTATCTTCACAAGATATAGCAGTGGAATGAGCACAAACTATGCTTTTGTTCTCTTTAGTTTCTTTTTTTTTAAGAAACTAGATTTTTGTTTATTGAACTTACCTAAAAAAAAAAGAACGATGCATGTCAAGACATTTTATATCGGAATAAACATGTAGAAAAGAATGTCATACTTTAAGGGATAATGTTTGTCTAAAAACTAATTCATCTTACAAGTCTTTATTTTGTTTTATTAGTTTCTAATTGCGTTACAAACACAAAATTACACAAAACATCAAATTCTCGATTTTCGAGATTGAGTTTTTCTATCGTTGTCAATATCTTATTGAGAGCCCATTTCCTTAGCAATTTCTTCAGCACGCTTTTGAACATCGCTGATATCACCTTGCATGTAGAAAGCAGATTCAGGCAAGCTATCGTGCTTACCGTTCAAGATTTCTTGGAAAGAACGGATAGTGTCAGTGAGCTTGACAAGACGACCTTCATAACCAGTGAAGACTTGAGCGACAGCAAAAGGTTGAGACAAGAAACGTTGGATCTTACGGGCACGTTCGACAACGAGCTTATCTTCTTCAGACAATTCATCCATACCCAAAATAGCAATGATATCTTGAAGAGACTTGTAGTTTTGAAGGATTTGTTGAACTTCAGTGGCAACCTTGTAGTGTTCTTCACCGACAATACGGGGATCAAGGATACGAGACTTGGAGTCAAGAGGATCGACAGCAGGGTAAATACCCAATTCAGCAATTGAACGAGACAACACAGTGGTGGCATCCAAGTGAGCAAAAGTGGTAGCAGGAGCAGGATCGGTCAAATCATCAGCAGGGACATAGACAGCTTGGACGGAGGTAATGGAACCGTTCTTGGTGGTAGTAATACGTTCTTGCATACCACCCATATCAGTGGAAAGAGTGGGTTGGTAACCGACAGCAGAGGGGATACGACCCAAAAGAGCAGATACTTCAGAACCAGCTTGAGTGAAACGGAAAATGTTATCAATGAAGAGCAACACATCTTGACCTTCGTTATCACGGAAGTATTCAGCAATGGTCAAACCAGTCAAGGCAACACGGGCACGGGCTCCTGGGGGTTCGTTCATTTGACCGAAAACAAGAGCACACTTGGAATCACCTTCCAATTGAATGACACCAGTTTCAATCATTTCATGGTAAAGATCGTTACCTTCACGAGTACGTTCACCGACACCACAGAAGATGGAGTAACCACCGTGAGCCTTGGCAATGTTGTTGATCAATTCTTGAATCAAGACAGTCTTACCGACACCAGCACCACCGAAAAGACCAATCTTACCACCACGAGCATAAGGAGCCAACAAGTCGACAACCTTGATACCAGTTTCGAGGATTTCGGGAGTAGGAGATTGATCAACGAATTCGGGAGCTTCAGCGTGAATAGGACGGTGAGCCTTGGTGTTGATAGGACCACGTTCATCAATGGGTTCACCAATAACGTTGATGATACGACCAAGGACTTCCTTACCGACGGGGATGGTAATAGGAGCACCAGTGTCAACAACCTTTTGACCACGAACAAGACCTATATAGAGTATAAGTATATCGACAAAAAAGAAAAAAAAACGCGAAGCATGCTTTCTATTTACCTTCAGTACCATCCATAGCAATAGTACGGACAGTGTTTTCACCCAAGTGTTGAGCAACTTCAAGAACAAGACGACCTCCAGCGTGATCTTTGACTTCAAGAGCGTTCAAAATGGCAGGCAAGTTGTCTTGTTCAAATTGGACATCGACAACGGCACCAATAACAGAACTAGACAATGAGTGATGAGTAAGCGTGTTTGGGTTGCTATCGTTATTGCTTCTTACCGAATTTGACCAGCACTGGCAGCTGAAGCATATCTTCTGGCTACGACACAATGTCAATAAAATAAACTTGAATGCTTATGAGATTTACCTTGAGAAGCAGCGAAGCGAGCAGCGGGTGTTTGAGCGCGGGTAGCGTTAGAAGCTATAAAGCCAAGTGCACGAGAAATGTACATTTTCCCTTTCGACGATGAGAGAAAGAAAGAAACGGCTGTAAATAATATATCCACCGTAAAAAACACGCGGTGCTTGAATCAACAAGGGATGCTTGTGGATTCTACAAAAAAAAAAATTATTGGCTTAGACCTTTACAGCTCAGGCACAAGCACATTTAAATTTGCATTTCTAAGCTTATGGCTAAGGTTTTGGTAACATATCTTTGACAGCTAAACATCGTTGCTTTTCCTTTTAGTATCGTCTATATTAATTACCTCTACGGTTCTTATTGTCCAAAACACCTTGTTTTTCAATTTGAAAAACTTTATGTATTCATCTTTTTTTCGAAAAAATAGGCCCACACTTCTATTCATACGCTTGCTTATAGTAAGCAATTTAAACCCTAGATGCAATCTAATACTATTGCCATAAAAAGGAGCTTGGCATATTGAAAACAACAATTAGCTTTCAGTTACAAGTGCCTCTTCTTTTAACTTACTGTTAGAAAAGATGTCAGTATCAAGATTGAGTATTCTTCATTATCATTACCAGCTTCTGATAGTGAAAAGGTCGATACTTTAATCTAATAAATCAAAAAGTAGTATGCGAAAAGTTTATTTCAACAATTAGTCTAATGAAAAAATCGGATAATGGAAGTGTTATTCAGGTTCCCTTCTTTATATATATATATCTCTGTTGTTTGCTAAGTCTTCTTCATTTAGTTGAAGTTCTTATGTATAATGGGTGTGAAAAAAAGTTGCCAAATTGAGCAAACAATGAAGTTCCCATAAAGAAAACTGCATGAATCTTGCACCATGGATAAAAAAGGCCGTTGATCTAAATTTAAACCAATTGACTTGACCGTAACACAACCGATTTGTTGATTTGTATAGAAATAATGCCAGCATTTGTATTATAATTAGTTTATTACTTTGATTATGCTATATAAGTTAAAATAAGAATTACAAGAATTGTACAAGAGCAAGAGCAACAGAGGCTCTAACAAGGTACTTGGAAACTTGAGTACCCATAGTGGCTGCATTAGCCTTGTTAATAATGCTAGAAGGTGATAAAGAAGTACTAGAGCCAGTTGCTGAAGCCAAAGTAGAAGAAGGAATTGAAGAAGAAGTTACAGGAGCAGCAGCAATGGTAATGGAGATACTGACATTTGTTTGGGACACGCTGTCTGTAAAAACAACCTGATAGTTACCAGCAGTGGTATTGGAGGGAATGTGGTACTACACAAAAAAATGACCTTTTTAGGATAAAATTCAACACAGACGTCTGATAACTTACGTTGAACTGATGCTCATAGACAGTACCACCAGTAATTTCTTTCTCGAAACTGAATCCTTTACTGATATCAGCAGAAGCAGTCATTACAGTAGAAGAATTATCTCCTACAAGTGAAATAGAGAGCTGAAGGTCTATACAAGTCAATACGACTCTGCGTTTCGCGTTTCCCAACACTTACTATCAGATGTAGAGTTATCAGCAACATCATAAATACAAGGAAGGATTTGGCTAGCAACATAGGGAGCATTAGGAGCAGGAGAAGTAACATTGAACTGATAACTTGGAGATTGCACCAATGCTTCAACAGCAAGGACTAAAGTAGAGAATAAAACTGCGATTTTGACCATGAGGAATAAGTTGAGGGGAAAAACAGAGAGAAAAGAAATATACAACAAAGGATGGGAAATCTATTTAAATACTTGGGGTTGAGAAAAAGGAGAAAGAGAAAAGACATTTTGTGAAGCACAAGAGGAGATTGAATTGCAAAAATCAGGGTGGTTGTGCGACAATCAGCAGATTGGATGCTTTCTTGACAGGGCTGACTCAGTTTAAGATAAACAACATTTTCTTTTTTTTTTACGTTTTGTCATTATCAGCCTCATTATGCTATAATTAACATTGCCTGCTTATCACAACAAGTGTGCAATACGCGACCGTATATAATTTTTTTTTGTTGACATTAGTCTTTTTTGGCTTCAAATTTTTTATGATCTGTACAAATTGCTCGTTCATTTGAGGTATGAATTTTGATCACTCAAAGCAAAAAGCTCTGAGCAATATCAGAAAAAATAACCTTCATTTACTTTCATATATCTTGTAAACAAGACTGAGCATATATTCATTACAATGATCTTCGAGCTATATAGGATAAAAAAAAATGTCGTCTGTGAAATGTTGATAAAGAAAGAAATGACGTCCTTTATTCAAGGCAATGAAGGCTTGTTTGTAACTACTCAATTAATATGCTTTTTGATCTGATATACATAATGCAATTGATATAAGAAAGAAGTATTTGTTATGAGCATATCAACTACAAAATTTTCTGAATAGTATGTACAAATATTACTTAAAGAACGCCACTTTTGTATGTTTGACAAGAACTGTATCTCCGCCTGCAGAAAAAAAATGACGAAAGCTATCTTCTTTTTTTTTTGGTTTGCAAAAGAAAGATGAGGAGGAAGAGATTGTTAGAAAAAAAGGAGATTGTTGATAGAAAAATATTGTGAGTCTCTGAACTGAGTAGAAGAAAGGGGACTGCTGCAATTGCTTTCACAAGCATTGATGTCAGCGAGGTTTACACTAGATTGCCAAGTTAGGTAATACAAAAGGTTATTCTTTTGTTTTGCAGAAAAAGGCATTTCAAGAGCGAATCAGTGGTCAAAACCTTATGTACAACTTTAATATACCACTCTCGTATTGTTTTTACTGTTTCCTAAAAAAAATGGTGACTTGATAAAGTAAGCAAAGAAGAAAGGAGTAATATAATCTAAACAAGTAAAATACAACTTTCTAGTAAGAGATTTCTGGTAATATATACATCAGCATTTAGGGATTACGAAAAAAGGTAAATAAGCCTTAGCATTCTTTATGTATAAATCAGCCACAGCTTTCTTTTACCTAGCAACTGCATGCATTTGAATATTCACGAAATGCTTGCTTGTTGACACAATGTTCTTATGATGCCTTAGGGAATAATGCAAGTAGATTATACAGTGCATTTAATAGCAATGTTTATAAAGAAAAAAAATTAAGTTGAACAGATGTTACTTTTAGCGATTAACTATTCCATAGACCTTTAGCTTTTTAAGTTTGGAATTGAAAACAAATCAGCTATCAAAAACACACATAAATGCAAGTAATTAGTTGCATGGCTAGAAAGATTAAATGTTAATGCTGTGTCTCTTCCTTATTCAAGCACCAATTTTACACTCGTAGAACAAACTAGTTATATGTATTGCGAAATTAACTAAAAGAGTGTATTCATTTGAGGACTTGCTTTTCAGACAATTGTCTAAAATATCAGCTGATGAGAATTAATAGAGTTAAATAAGATTTTATCTAATGCTTTAAAGCTTGGCTTAAGTGGAGTGTCCCTAAAAAATTGAGTTTAAATTAGTATTTTCTCGTTAGAAACTAAAAGCAAAAAATGAAAAAAATTTAGACATTTACCTTTCTTTCGTCTAAAGGATTTTTTAGTACGATGGTCTGGTCACTCTTGGTGGTGCTCCGTATTTTGCTATAATCCCTTGTGAAGGACTGTATCTCTTGGGTATCAACAATTGTGTCAAGTGCCAAGTAATTGAAGACATTTCGGAATGTTGTCCTTTACTTGTGGTATTGGTATTGCCATCTGTAGCATTGAACAAGACAAGATATAAAGAGTACTGAATCTCAGGAGCGACGAACGAAACACTTAATATATCCCTTTTAGGACATATTGAGGGGTAGGCCAGATGACGGCTATTTTATTGGGATTATATAAGACTCATATAACCGTATTGAATGCTTCCACGAAAGCATTGTTTTGAAGACATTTCATATGGCTAGTTACTTTGCTTCACATACACTAGTTTTCATTTACACGATAATTTTATTTTTCACAGAATAAAACCTTTACCCAATACAAAAAGAAATAGACATTCAAAAGACATGATGGACTAAAAGTGTCTAAAAACAAAGAGCTATCAAAAAAGCGTATTAACAAAATTGGTAGATACAAATACGGTGCATCAAATGATTTAGAAAAAGTAACATGTTTAACATCAAGGTAGCGAGCTATCTTCTAAAAACGTGTTTTCCGTTTTTGAGCTGTAGCGTACACTTTTTACACTACTTTTGTGAATGTAACAATTTTAATGTGTTTTATAGACCTAGAGAAGCAACTCGTACTAAGACGTGTTATATCTATAATGTCTCTATCGACCATCAATTGCAAAATAGTGAAAATGAAGATTTGGTAAAGTGTACCATAAGGCTAAAGCGAAGATTTTTTGACTTTTTCAGAACTCGGTATATTTCTGCATGAATGTGTTATTTTATGTATGAAGACAGGAATGAAGGTTTGTTTTAAAAAACCTTCGCGCCTGCAGCGGGCTGCTAATACACTTTTGGTGCTATTATGCTTACCAGTTTTATTCAAGAATGAGTTGTAAGGAAAGCTAGTTGATAAACTAAGATCGTACAATAAGTTTGATGCTCAGAAAACGCATAAGTTGAGGATCAAAAGCATATTAAATACGTAATGTGCCAAATGAAAGCAAAAGTTATTTAGTAGTAATAAACTATGTATGTTTTTTGTTATATGGATATTAGTAAGAATAAGAGAGTAAAACGCACTTTACTTATTTTAAGAAGTAATTTTGCTAAATGATAAGATAGAACAGGAAAGCATTTATCTTTACTTTAAGCAAAATAGAGAGCCTTGAATTGAGGGCTGTGCTTTTGTTTTGCATTGAATTGGCCTGGTGATGATACAGTCGGTAGCACAAGCTTCTTCAAATTTATCCGTTCTTATTTTCACATAAAAGTCTAGAAAAAATCGAGCTTATTGATACCCTCAATAAAGGAACGCTAAAGTACTTTGTCAATGTCAATTGATTTGGCAAAACTAGCGACATTGTCAGATCAAAAGACTGTTTCATGAGGTGCAATTGGAACCTAGCGAAGAAAATTAACAGATAAACACTTTTTTAATTCCGCTTGATTGGCATAGAACCGTCGAAAAATATTGTCACAGTAATTACGGAACATCAAAACTAGGTGATGGCCGGAATTTGAAAGTAAACTAAACAAAGAATCTCAAGAAAAATACATCAATATCTTTAAAAGTATGAAAACGCTCTTGCATCAGCTGAGGTGTGGATGGAGATATCATCCATAAAAATATACTGTCCTTTCGTTACCAGATGCTCATTTGTTTCGCAAAAGCCACTCTGAAAAAAGCACAGTCAATATACTACCGTTAACTCTTGTCATAAGCACCAGTCCTATATTTAGGCTTTCTCCTCCTAATGCACTCTATGATTCTCAGATTAGTATGTGTTGAGCTAGTTGCTGACATTGCAAGAATAAGCAAAGCTCGTGAAATACTGAAAACCACTTCATCTTTTGACACAATCATTTTTGCACGACATAAAATTGTAAAACAGCAACCTTATACTTTATGAAATGACTGTGCGATGCACTGAGAATGTACTACATACACTTGTGTTTGAGAAGAAACTAGACATCAGCCCTCGTTGCATATAAAACCTGATTGTATTAGTTCCATCATCTCTTGAGAAAAAAAATAGTGACTAGGCTTTTGAAAAGACTCGGATGCTCTTTGACAATAATCTGAATGATACAATGTTTAAGATGTTGTCTTGAACAGCAAATATCATTCTAGTTCTCAATCATCAATGTTCTTATTAAATGATACTAAGGTATAAAAAAATTGAATTGATGCACACCTGTCTTGCTTTTCTTGTCTCGACTAGTTTCGTGATACTTGAGCTTACTATAATTGAAAGTCTTTCAGGTCAAATTGAAGCTAATCAATATTCCTCAGTACGTTCTTATGTTCATTCCTAAACTTGCACACAACATTCGAAGCTTGTTTTAAGAGACGCCATCAAGGGAAGATGATTATTTCGGTTGCTTCACGAACCTGCACTCCATGCTTACTTCTATCTTTCAATGGAGACTCTGAGCCTTTTTGAGACCTGCTTGAGCTTGCAGTATAATTTATTCTTTGGATCAGCGGATCTCTAACTATATGTCATACAGCAGGACTTCTTTCTTTAGGTCGCAAGCTCTACATGCAACTTGCCTTGTCCATTTAGGGTAAGAAGCCTTCAAATTTGGTTTCTGCCATGTATTACACAACATATCAGAAGCATGTATGAAAAGCATCTTTATTCGAGAAAAAGCTTTAAAAATTCCTAGGCAGGCTTTATTGACAATATATTACTAAAATGTAATACTTCTACTTGAAAGTAAGGGATGAGATGACTACAGTGAGTAATATTGCTGTTGATTGGCTTCTCTTATGCCATATAAAGGTTTCTTTTGCATCTACATTTATATTGGCTATCAATATGAACCAAAAAAAAAAAAATATTTTTATTCTTTTGAGAGACGTCCATAAGATTAGACACTTTATATTTTTTAGGCTACTTTAGACCTCCATGAAGATCAAAATAACTATGCATATTGTGAAAACAAGAAAAAGATGAACAAAGGTAATATGGCTTTCAATGCTATTAATGTTGTTGATGGTTATTTCTAATAATGGTCCTACCACGAGTACCACAAAATGTCATTTTAGACACTTTGTTCTCTTTTATTGATATGGAAACACCCAATCTAAGAACTATTATGCCCAGTCAATCAAAAAAAAAAAAAAAAAAAAAAAAAAAAAAAAAAAAAACTCGGACCCTATGACATTCTGTTTATCTTTAAAAATTTATGCGAAGCGAAAATAGGTTTTAATCAATTTTTATGATAACAATGCGTGATGAAATAAATAAACATGTTTTTTTTTGTTTTGAGTAAGAAATAGATAAAAATACAGAAATATGACAGCTCTCATTAAAAAGAAGACTGTTTAAAATAAATACAAAAGAATAAATAGATAAATATAAGAAATTAAATTAGTGAACATTGGAGGTTTTTCTTGTATTTGTAAGGCGCGCAAAAGCCCTAGAATAGAGAGACACCATTTCGTAGAAAGTACAAGTAACTGCACGAGCAACAGGTCCTCTAAAACCATAGATGCAACGAAGAGCAACCCATTGCTGTTGACTTTTGGGTACCTTGGTACGTAAAGGGAATCCAGGATCATTGCGTAGAGTAGGACCAATGGCCATGTATATTTCAAAAGCAGCGCGAATACTATCTTGCACTTCTTCGGGTAACCCGTCAATACCCTTTTGAGCTTTGTCTGAGATTTGATCGGCAAGTTCAAGAATACGGAGAGAGAAAGATTTCAATGTTTGTTCACCAACAACGTAGGGAGTTTTCTCGACCTTCAAAAGACGGTAAATGTTTTCAGAAGGAAAAGACATGTATTGAAGAGGAACATAGCAACGACCAACAAGACTGTCAGCAATCACGTCACGAGCAATGTTAACAAGCTGAAGGCACTATAAATATATACATTAGTCTGTGTGTTTAAATTAAGATTCATTTGAGAATATTTACCTGACCAGTAGCCCTTGCTCTTGCTAGTACATCTTCGTTTCGTGCAACGTTCTTGAATTGTTGTCCCCAGTTACCTCGACCAGTTTTATACATGATAACACATGTACAGAGCTCACCAAATGTACCAGAAATCAAGGCAGCATAGTTCAATAAGTCCTTCTGTTTTCTCACAGGCTCTCCACGAAGATCATGTTCCCATGCATCAGTAAGCTCAGACATAGCACGGGGACAAAGATAATGAGAAATACGGGCAAAGTTCTTGAAAATTGTTAACACTTCTTCGTTAGGAAGCAAGCTTGCATAGTGGTCCCAGTTGACATGTGAAGGTAATGAGTCTCTTGACTGAAGTTCGTTTGGCTTGGCTGGTGAAAACACATCACGCAAGAATTTACGAATAGTCACCAAATTTTGAGTGCATTGTTTGTGTGTAGGAGCATCATCAACCAAGTCGTCAGCAGTACGGAAAAACGCGTACAACAAACAGAGGTCTTGACGAAGATTCACAGGAAATAAGGCAGCCATAGTCTTCCAGGATCGAGAAGCAGGACCTAAAACCTTAATAGCAGTTTCAAGATCTTCAATTGGAGAGGGGTCGAGTTCGCACTCAGATGGTAAGGCACAAATTAGACGGAACATATAGACCCAATAAATAAAAGAAGTAGCATCTTGTAACTGAGCCTGTTTCAGCTTGTTAGGTTGTACCAAATAGGGGTAAGTATTTAAAATAGCATCCAAGTAGTCTAAAGAGTTACAGGCAAGAACAAGTATGAATGCACTTGAAACCCAGTTAGAGAAAGACAAAGTGTACAGAATGCTTTGTGTATATGCAGTGCAACAGATAGAGAAACCAAATGCAGCTGATATTAAAGTTACAGCAGCAATTAACTTCCATCTACGAACAAAGTAAGGACCCGAAATGTACCATAAGAAGCCAATTAAAGTAAAAGTCAATGAGTGTTTGTAATGAGAAGCATATTGGCTAAATTTAAATAGGAGGTTTAGTAATGAAATTTTAGTATAATCAATATCTTACCAAAGAATAGCCAACAAAATATTGAAAATAGAGATACCGTATCTCATAAACCCCGAAAGATAAATATTGGAATTGGGTTTAATGAAAGACACCGGAAAGTGCCATCTTGTAAACAGACCATGCACGGAAACAGTGAGAGCTGTCATCATTAAAAGCACAAATGCATCAGTCAACAAGTATGCATGGTTGTCCATATATTGTAAGTGTTGTGCAGCTGCATTGAAAGTGGCTGCTACCAATGTTGAAGGGGAATGCATTGAAGATGATAGGTTTAGTTCTCTTGGGAATTGGATTCCGTGATTTATATGATATGTGTTGTTGTATTCAATTACGAATGGTATAAGGAATGAAATAGCACCCAAAGCAACATATTTGACTTTGTCCAGTTTGGTTATAAATGGTCTGTAAATAGAGAATATCACCAGTGAGAGTGCACAGGTATAATAGAGATATGACATTATGCGTGATTAAATTTTAGGTGCAAGAGATGAGATATCAAATTAAATATTTGTGTGTCAATTGAAATTGTTTTTAAAAGAAAAAAAAAGCGAATGATAACGAATCAATCCTTTAATTTCAGCCGTATTTATAAGCGAGAGCCGAACAGAAGAGCTAGACGAGTAGCACGTTCCCCTTTCCCCTCCTGGCATTACACAAGCGCTTTAAGCCTTGGCTACTAAACAAACAGTGTCCGATGAGTCCCTGTTTTCTAAGTGCTTCAAAATGTTATTTGCCTCCGAAATAAAAAAGAGTATGTGCGCGTTATTCGTGCATATCTACCACTTATATGGTCTACTCCTTTATCTACATCTCTACTACTCCTTGAGTGGCGGTTTTATTGTATAGTGGAAGTACTCAATTTCTAATTTATCAAAATTCGATCAAAAGGGCTGAAGATAACAACAAGAACTTTTGTGTTTACGATGTGTTTTGATGAAACAGAATTCAGTGTAGTACATCTTCGTCAATTGTACGACTGTTGCTTTAAAATGTTACCTTTTTTCAACTCCTACGCTTTTAATGCAGACCAAAGAATATAGTAACTCATCTCCTATTAGTATGATGACTACATGTAAAAAATTTCTTGATCATTCGCATCCAAATAAAGACTAGTACTGCGGTACTTTCGTACACTCTAGAGCACCTTAGAAACAGGTTTCTTTTTTTTTTTACACCTTTGTTTATCTTGTAAAAAAAAAAAGCACATTCGCACATAGAATCATATAGAAATTACATTTACATGATTTTGTTACTTACAATGATTAAAACTTAAAATCGAATTAAGACTTTTGAATATACATTTCGGAATGGCTGTCAATTAGAATAATACTAAAAGGAGGTTTTCCTTGTCCTTCTCTACAAATAGACATTCTCCGCTTTCCTTCGCATTTCCAGAAAGGACGACACTTGTTTGTAGCTAAGCATTATGTTAGCCCCTTTCCCACTGAACAAATGACAGCATCCTCAAAGAAAAAAGAGATGTGTCTCTTGACATCTCCTTAATGCCCCGCTTAAGTAATCGGTGCTAGTTTTTTTTTTTTTTTTTGCCACCTGTTGTCCCGAGTATGTGTATATTTTAAAAAAGCATAATGCTTGTAACTACAAACAACAACAACAACACTAAGAGCTAATAGATACTTGCACTGCAGTCAAATGATTAACGTGATCGCATTTACTACATGAACCAATTGACAATGTATTTATCTATTACACATTTTTTCTGTACATCATAAAAAAATTGAATATGTCGTATGTTTCAGTATTCAGGAGAGGTTTTCTTGGTTTTGACATAAACATGTACTCTTTTCTCCTAAAGCAAAATCTCCTAAGTGAGGAAAAGGACAGTTGTTCCGAAAAGTGTATTATTGAACATTAAAATAATTTTCCCAATGTAATGAAAATGCTATATTTATATATATGTAAATACATCAATAAAACAGAATTATTATTTTATTCTTTGTTTTTGCTTTGAATAAGAAGAAATGTTAGTTTGAAGCCACGAGAATTCAAGTTTAGGGTGGCAAAGGGGTCGCTTAGGAAGTTTACTTGCGTTGAGTTGGTACACGGTATGCAAAGATAAAGTCAATCCAAAAAAGACAAGTATTAAAAACAAAGAAGCAGACATGTATAACGGAGATCATTAAAAGGCAAGTGTTTTAAAAAAAGTTAGTAGCTGTGCTACTTGACTAAAACTCTAGAGAGAATTTCACTAGAAGAAAAATATGATTTCGTTGTCTTTCGCAGAATCACGTCTCTTAATTGTTATATGAAAAATACACAAACACAGCTCAGATAAGCCTTAACTTAAACAACGACATCACTACAAACAAAACGGTACAACACTAGAAAAAACCGGTTTTTTTTTTGCAAATAAACATATACACAGAGACGATCCGCTATGCTTCTCACGTTAAAATAGATATAAAGATCTGGGCTTTGTAAGCATCACGATGATGACTGTAATGATGTCTACATGGTCTTGGGTATATTGTTCACATTGTACAAGAAACGATTTTATAAGAGCAGTGTACAACCAACCTTTTTGTGCTGTTTGTTTTGGTTTTCAAAATGTCAACCTTACTTGGGAATAAACTTTTCATTTCATTTAATCAAAAGACACATCTATACTAAGGAAAAAGATGGGAAGAATCATGTATGAAATGGGACTTAAGAATCAGACGCACCAAACATGTATGCATTCATAAAAGAGGTACAAGGATAATACTCAATTTATTGAGAACAGAGGTATTTTTGAATTTGTCTAAAGATAGCAATTATTTACACCGGCTTTGCTCCCGCCTTTTACTTTTTTATCTTTCTCTATCGCTTTGCATTAGCCAAAAAAAAAAAAAAAAAAAAAAAAAAAAAAAAAAAAAAGGAGTCGAGAATACATGATGAATGATAACTTTTAGCTCATCTTGAGTGATAAAGAAAGGCTTTTTTTCACAAGATACATCATGTGTGTGTGCGCATTAAGGTTTGTAAGATTTGCTCGCGGAGAAGCCTGTAGTCTTCTGATGTACACAGATAGTCGAATATGGTGTATGAATTGAATTGGTTTTTCTGCAGTATCTGTGTGCATAGTCCAAACAAGTTCTATGCATACATACTATAATTGACATGAGAACAAACTCTGGTATGAGGCATCCAGTAATTATACTATTTTTCTATACTTATAAATAAAGTTAAGTGAATTAGCAATTGAGTAACTTGAAAGACTATATCAGTCATTGTCCCACGTATGGATCTGGATTTCACCTACGCACTTAAAGAACAACATTTCTTTTTCTTTTTTTTACTTTCTATTAGTCACCAAGCATAAATCTGCGCTTTATTTTTAGACAGCCATCTCTTATGGATATTATTTGAATTTAAGCTCCTTAATATAATTGCTTATCAAAAGAAGCACATAGAATCTGCTTGGTTCCTGATGATAAAATGAACCAAGTTAACTGGACTATTCAGGTCCACTTTGGTGTAACTGATATATGTGTTAACTCCGCAATTGAAAAGGTGTTGGAAAGAAACAAAAGCTTACAAACCATGCAAGAAATTCTAAGTATACGACATTTATTAAGCTTTCAATTGAATAGAAGCTATGAGCTTGCTTGTTTGTTTGTAAGTTACACTGTTAAAAAAGGCATTATTAAATATAGGAAAAAAAAGCAACTAATAAGTAGAAGACATGGCATAAGTTTTTTTTTTAGTAATACTATTGTTTCAATAGGGAGGCAAGAGCGCTATAAGACACTATGTTAACCATAATTTAATGACGCAGCTGCACTTACTCGAAAGAAATGAGCGGTTTCTCTGTAGATGGTTCAGAAAGTACATTGTTCGTGTCAATAGACTTGCTTGTAGTTAAAAAGTTCTTCCATGACATGTCGCTTCCTGGTGGCGCCTTTGGGATCATTCCACCCGATGATGGCTGTTCTATTGACAATTGTGAAAGTTGCTTTTGAAAGGAATTGATATCAGCTGGACTGGCATTGGACTCTTTGACAGGAGAGCTTTTTGATTCCGCGTTTTTGCTGTCTATTAATTCTGGTGAAGCGGGAGAAGGATTAGATTTCTCTGTGTTGTGCGCTATCTGATAAGGATGGCTAGACTGATAAATAGATGATGATACAGGTTTTGAAGTAGTTTCCTTGCTAGTTGAATTGTACTTTATTCTGTTAGTCTTTACACAGATCAAAGGTTAAGGTCAATGTACCTGATCCACTGTGCCAGCTTCTTTTTGAATCCATCTTTTATATTCATACTTTTCTCGAATCCATGCGTCCATATTATACTCAGATGGCCTTTTATCTTTTAATTCTGCTTCCCAGTACCTTGAAGACAGTAAGAGAATACAAGTAAATTTTCTGATTACTTACGTGTTAGCACGTTGGTTTCCCCACTCGATCATACTATCAATTTGTTCAGGAACCCAGGTGTCTAAATCGACTGATTTTACTATATAATAGAAATTATCAGTATTATCCTAACAAAAGAAAGTCAACCCACCTTTGCTAATATGTGTTCCTAGAGAACGATGAACTCCAGAACAGTGTATGCAAATAAAGATGCCCAGATTCCACGAAGCCCATCGAGGATCTATTTTCTCAAAAGGTTAGCTAATGATGTGTTATTTTTTTTTTTTTTGCTTGTGAGATTACCTTTCTTCTTACAGTCTGCACAATAAGAGTTGTCAGGGTCTTTTAGTAAGTTCAATAATATCTTTGTATGTTTCTCGTTTAGATCTTTATCAGCTATTCTAGCGTATCTTGTAGACATTTTACAAGAAAAAAAAAGTATTAAAAAAAAAGAACAATTGAAGCCAGCCAAGCAGAATACAATTGTGTTACACTAATCGAATCATACTTCAATAAGCAGCTTTTAATATCAAGTATCCTTTGAGGTAGAAGGATTTCAAAATCAATCAATTTGTTTGCTAACTCTTATCAAAAGCTTAAATTCCTATTCATAGATAAGATTTTAGTAAAGTAGTAGTTGTATAAGATATTCAACCAATTACTAGGTCCTTTGTCTTTGATTGCTGTGCCTTTAATTATGTACTACATGCATCACAAACATATGTCTTACTGTCCTCAACAAAACATTGTAAAACAGTCAGTCTATATGACTAATTTTTTTGCACAGCCTTTGATAGTATCAAATCTTCAGATTAATCGAGTTAATATTGATATTAACATCTTATTGCTACAAAAATTATATACATTCAAACATTGTTCTGTTATTTCGACATAAATCGTGCCTTTGTGTTGACCATAACTTAGTAAAGCTGTTCTATTCATATTTAGCTTTAACGTTTTTCTATTAAAACATTCTGATTGGGATCTGATGTACATTGTACCTGTTTATGCCTAATTTATTTGGTTCTTTCGTGTTCTTTTACTACTATTATTATAATTTATCTGCTTCATATTGAACTTATTACTATCAACTCTAAATTCTGACAGATACGTGTATCATAGAAAACTTATTCGCTTATTTGGATCTCAATTATTGTATTACTTCATATCAATTAGACTTTATTCTATTTTAATTTGTTTACTTTATGTTTAGTCAGTTTGCTTTGACATGTTGTATCATTTTCTAGTGAAGACTTGTAAATTCGTACGCTTGAGCTACCTCAATTACACTTTTGAAAGTCCAATATGACTATTCTATAGATATAGATACTAAATCAATTCAAATAAGATAAAGCCATCCTTGAGCTATCTTAGAATTACATTTTTTTTTTTCTAACATAGTCGAACGGCTTAAAACATGGTGTTCATTACATATGACTATACCTACTGTTCTATATATCAACAAATTACTGAAA